TCATCCTATAGTTCTCAGCTCGTGAGTTTGCCTTGACTAGGAATCCACCAAAAATGGAGTCGCATGATTCTGATATAAATTCAATGAGCTTCTAGTGAACAACATTTCTTGCAGTTTGATTTTTTAATCCGGACAGTGTAGATCTGGATACCCTTAGCGTGATATTGTCTATTAAACTGATGTCCACAGAACCTTCAATAATTGTCAACAATATCTGGCTCGTATAACTTGATAACTCTGGAACTTCATTTGATGCTACATAATGGTAGGAAACTTTCATAATTTGTTTAGCATTATGCCCAACTTATACCGCATGTGTTGTCCTTTTCTATTCAAAGATGGCAACTAGATTCTTGTAGTAATTATTGAAGATCAGGCAGGTGGGACATCTATCTTGGGATCGATTGTTGGAGGATCCAACATAGAAGAAAGGAAGCGTTGTGCAATTGAAGCGGCAATGCGAAATGTATCAGGTAGCTTTTGCTTTTCATAATATAAACTGATGCTATAAATATATTGTAGGAACTTTATTTCTGTAAACCTTTTCTTCATGTCAGTGTGTGCTTGGAGCCATTTGTAAAGTGTGCTTGGTGATTCAAAGTGACAAAATAGTAGCAAATTGAATATGATTTATTATGCTTTTTTATCTGCATTATTATTGTTGACGTTAGACAAAGTTAAAATATAATATAAATTAAACACAGTTATGACAACCAGCCACTTAGATGGGATAAACCATGCTAATGGTAATTCTTCTGTTAATTTCAATTCAATAAACCATGCTAATGGTAATTCTTCTGTTAATTTCAATTCAATATCCGTGAGTTATTAGCTTTCTTTTGATCCTAGTTGTTACCATTATTGTGGTCTATTTACTGTTTGTTTTGTGAAATCTCTGCTTGATTTAGGTTTCTGGATTGGAGGGTTTGGGCAAGGAGAAAGTATGGAGGAACGACCTGCTTTGCTCAACATTGTTACGGTAAGATAGCAAAATCAATTTTGTGCTGAAATGGCAAGTGAAACCTGAAAATACTTAAAGTTGCATAGTCTGAGTGAGCTGTTTCAACTCTAAGACCTCATATTTGCAGGCAGATCTATTGTCATAGCAATCGTATGCCATGTAACATGCTAGAAAAGTAGAAAGACCTGAATTTCTCATGATAATATCTGGAAATAATGTTTTTCCTACACCATGATTCATGTGGCTGGACTGAAAAAAATTTCAGGTACATATATGTTGGTTATGGGATATTTGAACTTACGCTTGACCTTATGAAAAAGGAAAAAAATAAAAATAAAATATCCAAAATGGCATGCTCTACATGTGTGCAAGATACTAGGAAAGAATCAAGATAATACTCGAGGAAACATCATATCTACATGCTAGATGCAGTCATGTTTTGAGGCTTTACCATATCAAGGGAAATGTGTGAGAGAAGCTAAATGATGGCAGTGGTAATGGAAATATGCTTTACATTGGCTAAGTGTAAATGACGTTTTGAGTTTTATTCTTGAATCATCTGTGACCGTGAGTATTGCATTTAACACACAATAAAACTCATCGACCATGGTAGTTTGATATTCCTTATGGACTGTTATGGTAGTGGTTAAGAGTTAGAATTGTCCAGAGCTATAAATTTCTTAAGTTTGGTCAATTGGAAGGATGGAGTTCCAAGTCCTGGATTTAGATACTTCCATACACATCCCAGAATTTGTGATATAAACACCACATGCACCTTTAAGCATGCTTGAGAAGTATTGATGGTGTGAACTATTCTAGAGACAGCGTAGGCGATGGAAATATACTCACAACAAGGAACTAACAGTTTACTGGATTTCAGTAGGTGATCAAGAGATTAGTATCATTTTTAATTTTTTCTAGGAAAAATTATATCTAATTCCTTATATTTTGTGTGATGCTTTCAGGACAGCTTACCTAAGGAGAAATTGCGTTATGTTTCTGGGCTCGCACTTCCAGGTACAAGTTACCGTAACTTGTGCTCAAGAACATATAGAACTACACTATGGATGAGTTCGTGCCTGAAGTTTGTGCTTTTTCTTTCTTTGCATACTCACTGACCTTCCTGATTTAGGAATCATTTCTTGCCTAAGACTTATCTCAAGTAAAAATTTGGAGATATATTATGAAATCATCTCCTCTGATGTTATCGCAGTCAACAACAATCCAGTTTAAAATTGAAATTCATATTCCATATTGACATCTATCTTAGCTTCATATTCTCTTTCAAATCTCCAGTGCAAACATAGATGCATGTCTTTCTTTCGAATTATAACAATGTTTTTAATTAGTTCTTATCCTTTCTTGTCTCTTATAGAAGAGGTCTTACAGGGTGTGGCTGCTGGTATTGATCTCTTTGATTCCACGTATGTAGCTAAATGCAATGTGCTGGTTAATTACTTAATCATATTGCTAAAGTTCAGCTTCTACTTTCAAGAAGCTCTTTATAATTTGTGAGCATGAATTTAGGTACATTTACCATCTGACACTTGGAGGCTTTGCTCTTATCTTCCCACTTGACATACTTGAGAACAACTCTGCAAATCAACAACACAGTGATATCGGTAGTGACTGCACCAAAATAAACCTACGAGCAACAATTTACAGGTGAGTGATTTCAACCACTTGCAGATATCAGCTAAAAGAAAAGGTCTTAATAAATGAGATGCCTCTAAAATGATCTTGTTATAACGATAAGTAGTCTAAGATTGTTACTTAAGCAACTTTGTACTCTTATTCTTGATTCCTATGCAGGAAAGATACATCGCCTATTGTAGACAATTGCACCTGTTTCACCTGCAAGAATCATACTAGAGCTTACATCAATCACCTGCTTAATGTTCATGAAATGCTTGCTCAGATTCTATTAGAAATGTAAGTGGTTCTTCAACCTGAAAAGTTTTCTGTCATAAAACTCTATTTCTGGTTATACTTGTTTCCATTCTAAGATGCTTTCTACAATGTTCAACGCAGTCACAACACTCGCCACTATATGGGATTTTTCCAGTCGATAAGGGAAGCAATCAAGTGTGGCAAATTTGACACTTTTCGCCAAAATTTTATTGATGGCAGACGTGCACATATTACTTCTGCTGCAGTATGCTTGTGAGATCCCATGGCTTTCACTCGGAACAAGCTCCTATTATTATCAACAAAATAGTAGTCAGGTCTTTGGTTACTATATTAGTTTTGCTTCAGCATGACCATAGTGTGTAAATGTAATATGTTAACACTGGAAGGCATTAATTTTGGTACTGAACACAATGCCTTAGAACAGTTCCTTGCCTTCAGTTGACTGCAACCCAAATTGTATTATTAACTTGTTATTTATGACATTTGCAACATGTTCTTACCTGTGTTTTCTGGCTCCATTTCTTCAACGTCACTGCTGGATATTTTCTGCTTCCAATCGCTCTTCTTAATTGGATCAGCTGAAAAGGAGCTTTAATGCTTGACATTTGGAGGCTGTTTGGCTCATTTCTTAGAAAACAAAAGCCTGGAAATCTGATGAAGAAACCATCTAAATAGGTTTCTAAACAGGTTTCTAAGTGATTTCTTTACGAAAACCTCCGAAATGGATTTTCTAAAAGTAAGGTCAAATCAACCAATAGGAGGATGCCACCTCATCCTTCATCTTGATTTCAAAGTGGGAACCAAACAAAAGAAAGAGAAATTTTATGGGAAATAGATTTTCCTTAATGTGTTGTCTTGATTTTTTTTACCAACCAAACAGGCCCTTGTTGCAAAACTAATTCTGATGAAAATTAAAGTGCAGGTTAGGGAGTCCAAGTCCTGTAAGCTTCCAACTATATAAAAAAGAGTCAACTGCGTACTAGACTCCTTGTACTATTGTTCAATTGCGGATATACACCCTTATGTTTATCTGCAATATTGGAACTATGCGGAGTAATATCTGCAACTGGGTGATAGTACGGGTCTGTCCACAATTAACCCAAAAGGAAAGGAAAAAAAACAGAAAAAGAAAAAAGAAAAATCCTCCCATCTTCTTGAACTAGATATTGACAAGGACAAATTATTTCCAAACATTAAACATATGTATATGTTTGACACCTCCATAATTGAAATCTGATGATAACTCAAAACAGAATGGAATTTTCATTTAAAAAATTGTTACCCTTTCTTGCTGTCAGTAAGATACAACTCTTTAAAATGTTATTGTGATATTTGTTTTCCAAAATTAAAAAACTTACACCTGCATAGGTGACTGGATGTAACATACAAAATAAATAAGAAACTAGCTCTCTTTAGAGTATGTCTGAAATAAATAGGACAAGATCTTCTTGTAGTCACCCATCTTTACCCCAGTATTCGGATCGACTAAATAAGGTATCTGCAGAGCATAAAACAAAACGTGTTAAAGATATTCCAAATTCAATACTAGCATTATCTCTTTATTTATGCTTAATAATTAGACAACATGCAAAATTCCAATGCAGTGTCTGCCTGGTTTTCTCTTTTTAATAGAGTAGACGCTAGAGATTATTTGTGTTGGACACAAAAGGGATCATTCGTAAATACTTGATGAAATAGAAACACAAAGGTAAAAGTAAAACCATTGCAGTTATCTGCATATAGATGCTCTTAGATCATTTGTTACAACTTTCTAGTTAAGAAACATGAGGGTAAGGTGAAAATGATTATGAAATGTGAGAAAAGTACTCCGTGGTCAAAGTTTGATCAAATGAGGAATTTGGGAATACACGTCAAGAAAACCCTAATGGAGGGTGCATAAGATAATTACCTCCTTGGAACTAGATTCTTTGACGAGCAACTCATACTTCGATGACCCTTCTCCCACATTATGGAGAATGTAGGGCAGTTCTAGTTCACAGAGTGCTTCACGAACAATTCTTGCATACTAAAAAGGAATGAAGTAGGCAATGGTGAAAATTACTTTATATGGGATTTCAATTAGAGAAGGCAGAAAAAATTACCGCATTGTTTTCATATGAAAAAAGCTCCAGTAACTTTGTTGGTGCATCAGGTTTTGCTCTTTCCCATGTTGTCATCCCTCTTCCTGCTCGAAGTAGAGTAGGCACCCATCCTGTCAAAACTGTGCTGCATTATGGAGGGAAACTTTCTCAGCTTCCAAATTAAAACACGAGACTTCTAGCAGACAGAAATTAGCACATTGGAACGGCTTAAACATATGCAACTTTCATAAATTACCGATATGGTTAAAAAGAAAATATAAGATAGTAACTACGAGATTAAGAGAACAATGATGCGGGTGACAATCTGAGGATATCGATGCAGCAAACTCTACAAATAAATTTCGGCAATACACTTCAATTAATGAATCATTAGTTACCTTTCCAATAGCCCAAACGAAGCGTTTCTTCCTTGACCATATTGTTGGAATAAATATTTTACTATATCACCTACAAATGTATGGTAGGAGGACATAAAATTTCAGTACAGCCGCTAGGCAGTTACTTTAGTAGAAGAAAACTGTGAAGGGATTGGTGCGAAAGATTCCAACGAGGAGAGAACTTATTTGTTAAAGCCACAAGTTAACACCATAGTTTGATAGCTCACCACTTTCATACAACGAAACACCAGTGTTTAAGTCAACGAGAAAGGGAAACCTGCACAAGCACTGTTCAAAAGTGAGTGGTTATGCAGTTTAGATAATAAGATATTGCTAATTGCAGATAACTACATACTGCTAAGTTGTATCAAAAGTAAACACTTCAATATTGCTAATTGCAGATAACTACATACTGCTAAGTTGTATCAAAAGTAAACACTTCAATGATAGATGGGCTGCATGGGCACATATCCCTTCAAGTATATGAAAGTTGTATCAAAAGTAAACACTTCAATGATAGATGGGCTGCATGGGCACATATCCCTTCAAGTATATGGACTTTTAATACAAAATAGCAATCAGGATGTTAAAAGTAATTACAACAGTTGAGACCAACAAAGTACAGATACTGGTAAAAATTTCTGTGAGAAATTCAAAATACAATTATGAAAATTGCATCATGTCAGTCCCTTTAGAAACTTATTTCATTTATTATGCATATTTGAATACTTACTGCTGCTGACCGCCAATTTTACGAACGATTTCTCTGTGTCTTACTGATCCTTTTGGACATGGATAGACCTGAAAGAATGCAACAGAGAAGCCCATCATGAAACAAATGTAAGCAGCCTGAAATCACTGGTGTCTAGTAGGTATGTTCACTAGGACGCTAACCTGATAAAAGTTAGTAGAAAAAAATGCTGAATATAACTTTGACCATGCATTACTTGGAAAGAAAAACAAACCAAATTCATCATGAATAAGAAATGCATGCCTAAGTTAATGTTCCATAGCTTTGCTAAACATATTCTATATAAGATGTAAATCTCAACTGCGCAGTTGGTTACCTCTGCAGAAAGATCCAGCTCGGTCATAGCTTCCCGCACTCTTCGACAAAAAGGGCATGCCTCTGTTCAAAAAGTTAATGTTAAATTTTTTTGATATTGTATTATTGTATATGAAACATGACAAGGACTCTCATGAAATGTCTAAACAGGAGTGATCTTTTCATATCAACACTTACGTAAAAAACATCTAAGGAGATAGTGAGCAGTACAGATGACTATCTGTGTAAGATAATTGCATGAAAGTAGACACTAATGGGTAAAGATGCCAAAATCTAAGATGTAACTTTGAAAGAAGTTTTTTATTAATCACAATAATACTTTTAGAGAGAAAACAGGCAGAGGAGAAAAGCCAATCTTGAGAAGGCCAAAGGTAATTCAAAGAAGAAATAGCAAGTTTCGTATGTTTTCTCATTTCTATTTTACAAATTTAATCATATATAAAGTTGTTTTCGCCAAAAGTTGGTTTCGTTGTCGAATTCATTATATATTCGGTCGATTACAATAAATTCAAAGAAAACAGCCTTTTTATAAGACTCTTTTACACAACAAAAAGAAAATTACAACTCTTGAGAAAATAAACGCAGGATCGTTGTTTGGATCACTGCTTTCGTGGGTTCTTTGCCTGTGCCGGGAGCGCTTTGACTCGTGGACCACCAAATCACAGATTCTGATTGAATCGTGAGGGGTTTATGATTCTGACTTCGTTTATCAAAGTGAGAAATTGAAACGATATCTTATCGATGTAAGATAGTCGTTCTTCTTGAAATCAAGTCATCGATGTAAGATAGTCGTTCTTCTTGAAATCAAGTCAAAGCTTGATTATCAAGGATTGGCCGTAAGATTAGCGCCTCTGCTCTCTCTCTGCTCTGGATTGCTCTGGATTGCTCTGAAGTGCTCAAAATGATCAGCCCCCCGGAAAAATGGCCTTAGGAGGGTATTTATAACCTCCAATAATAGTTGGCAGAAAACAGGCTCGCGAGACAGCTTTTGCTGTCTCGACGGGCGAGACAGTGTTTGCTGTCTCGGCCCGCGAGACAGTAAACGCTGTCTCGGAAACAGTAATCGTCAGGCAGTTTTCGTTTTAACTGCCTTCCCACGTTTCAAACTCCGTTATTTTGGTAGTTATCAACGTGATTCTCGCCCACAACGTTTCCCACGTTCTTGAACAGTTAGTGGCCAGGTGTAGGGCAGTTACAAAGATAGTTTTGACCATCTGAAAGCTGTCTCACGTGCGAGACAGTAAATTCTGTCTCGCACGGCGAGACAGTAAAGACTGTCTCGCGCGGCGAGACAGTCAAGTCTGTCTCGCACGGCGAGACAGTCAAGACTTGTGTTCTTCTGCCTTTTTGGATGATTTCCCCTTGAGCTGTATTTGGATATCTTTCAGCATTTTTTTGACGTCTACAGATACCCCCTCCAAAGTATTCCAGACTCAATCTTTTATAGCGGAGTTCTGGGATGCTTTGGACAAGATAGGTCTTACTTATGATCCTTTCAATGCTTGGTTGAGTAGATCGTGTAGAAGAACTTGTAGATGGCTTCAACACTTGATCTCTTTGTCTCTCAGTCTATTCAGTGCTTTGTAGAATAGCTAAGATCCTTTCGGCATGGCGTTCATCGCTTGACCGTCGTCGAGATCTTGAATTGAAGCTGAAATTTGTACTTGTGAATTCAGCTTTTGTCATCAAATTGATACCGCATTGTTAATCACTGTATCAGTCTTCATAGGAACACAGTTTATACTCATGTATTTTTGGAGTTCTCGGGAAATAGTTTAACCTCGTATACCCGTTGGGAGGTAGCCAGGTTATTCTTAAGAATATTTTGAGTGATATTCTCCAGAAACTTCCTGTTGATGGTAGGGAAACAGTTTAGACTCGTGTACCTATTGGAGTAATATGGTCTCTTTTTTGTTGGTAGAGATGAACCCGATGATGGAGAGGAAAAATTTTATATTCTATCTTCTGGTCTCTTGTTTGTTGGTAGAGATGAACCCGATGATGGAGAGGAAGAATTTTATATTCTATCTCCTGGTCTCTTGTTTGTTGGTAGAGATAAACCCGATGATGGAGAGGAAGAATTTTATATTCTATCTCCTGGTCTCTTGTTTGTTGGTAGAGATAAACCCGATGATGGAGAGGAAGAATTTTATATTCTATCTCCTGGTCTCTTGTTTGTTGGTAGAGATAAACCCGATGATGGAGAGGAAGAATTTTATATTCTATCTCCTGGTCTCTTGTTTGTTGGTAGAGATAAACCCGATGATGGAGAGGAAGAATTTTATATTCTATCTCCTGATCTCTTGTTTGTTGGTAGAGATAAACCCGATGATGGAGAGGAAGAATTTTATATTCTATCTCCTGATCTCTTGTTTGTTGGTAGAGATAAACCCGGAATCGGAGAGGGAGAATTTTATATTCTATCTCCTAGTACAAAGGAAATTTGAGGTGGGATTTCTATTCAGAGAATCTGAATAAGGTTTGATCAATTGAGATTGGAAGCAATCTTAACTTTTATAGTTTTGATTGCACAAATCGAAGCTGGACCTCTCGCTCATGGAAGGAATCGAAAGGGAATTTTGGTTTTGGTCCTAACTGTAGTAAGGTTTGACCAAGTGGGAGTTCTGAGATGATCCTAACTGTTTAAAGGTTTGATCATTCAATTTGTGGACCTCTCGTTCATGGAACGAATCGAGAGGGGATTTTGGCTTTGGTCCTAACTGTTTAAAGGTTTGACCAAGATGGGAATTTGAGACGATCCTAACTGTTTAAAGGTTTGATCGTTCAATTTGTGGACCTCTCGTTCATGGAACGAATCGAGAGGGGATTTTGGCTTTGGTCCTAACTGTTTAAAGGTTTGACCAAGATGGGAATTTGAGACGATCCTAACTGTTTAAAGGTTTGATCGTTCAATTTGTGGACCTCTCGTTCATGGAACGAATCGAGAGGGGATTTTAGCTTTGGTCCTAACTGTTTAAAGGTTTGACCAAGATGGGAATTTGAGACGATCCTAACTGTTTAAAGGTTTGATCGTTCAATTTGTGGACCTCTCGTTCATGGAACGAATCGAGAGGGGATTTTGGCTTTGGTCCTAACTGTTTAAAGGTTTGACCAAGATGGGAATTTGAGACGATCCTAACTGTTTAAAGGTTTGATCGTTCAATTTGTGGACCTCTCGTTCATGGAACGAATCGAGAGGGGATTTTGGCTTTGGTCCTAACTGTTTAAAGGTTTGACCAAGATGGGAATTTGAGACGATCCTAACTGTTTAAAGGTTTGATCGTTCAATTTGTGGACCTCTCGTTCATGGAACGAATCGAGAGGGGATTTTGGCTTTGGTCCTAACTGTTTAAAGGTTTGACCAAGATGGGAATTTGAGACGATCCTAACTGTTTAAAGGTTTGATCGTTCAATTTGTGGACCTCTCGTTCATGGAACGAATCGAGAGGGGATTTTGGCTTTGGTCCTAACTGTTTAAAGGTTTGACCAAGATGGGAATTTGACGCATATTCGGGTTATCCTTAAGAATATAAGATTCTCCAGGAACTTCCCGTTATATAAATCATCCACCACCAGTTTCCTTTGCGAGACTGGGTTTAACATTGTACTTAGTTGGATAACCGAGAAGCAGTTTATACTCGTATACTCTTTGGAGTGAGGGGACACAGTTTATACTCGTGCACCCACTGGAGTTGGGGAAAACAGTTTATACTCGTATATCCGATGGAGTATAATGGTCGTCTTTACTCGACTTCTTTTGCCGTTATGACGCCGGAGTCAATTAGGGCTTGGATCTTGTTTTTGAGTCCAAAGCAAATCTCAGTGGGATGAAGAACCCTTCTGTGGTACGCACAGTAATTTGGATCCATAATCATTTTAGCACCATCCTGATCTTTAATAGGTGGTAGCTCGATTTTGTCATTAGCGAGGAGGTATTCCAATATGGCTGGAGCTTCATCCTCTTCGCTTGTTTACCCCGAGATTTTAACTCCTTCCAAGTTGTGGATGGCACGACCCCCAGAGCTTCCAAGACATCGATAGAGAGGTTATTGTGGCATGTTTGCAGGATGAACTCCTTCGTAACAGGATCCTTGCAACTAATTACCTTGTCACGGAAGCGTTTGACAAAATTGTCGACTGACTCTCCGTCTTTTTGCTTCTCATCCAAAAGGGTTCCGATTGACACTTCAGTGTCATCATCGAAGAAGTTGCTGAGGAACAAACTTTCCATGTCATCCCAGCAATTGATGCTCCCTGGCTTGAGACGTCGGTACCAATCGAATTCTATGTCATCCCAGCAATTGACGCTCTCTGGCTTGAGCCGTCGGTACCAATCGAAGGCGGGCCCGCGAAGGGTTCCTACGAATGACCGGACCATCAGGGCTTCGTTCCCAGATATTGCGCCGAGATGCGACTTGAAATAGATCAAGTGCTGAATAGGCGAGCTCTTCCCTTCAAACGGTGTGAAGTTAATCAGATTGAATTTGGTCGGGTATGGTATTGAATCCCATTCCCTCGGATAAGGACATGGAATACCCGTCTTCTTAACTTCTTGAGCCGTCATCAAAGCATTGATTTTGTCTTCAAGTTTTTGCATTTTCCCGTCATCGTCTTCATTTCTTTCTGAATGATGTCGAGTAAAGATAATTGGACCACCCCCAGTGAGAGGTGCTATTGAACCACCCCCAATATCGTTATTGGGAGGATCCGTTAAACCACCCCCAGCGTTATTGCCATTGGGAGGTGTATCAGCCATAATGACTTCATCCACCTCTGGATCACTGTCATCTACAACATTCCGAGTGTGGTGGCTGGATTCAAATCGCTGATTGGACTCAGGAGGTTGAGGCTGTTGAGTTAACAGTTCTCTCATTTGTTGGATAGCCAACTTCATTTCTGTCTTCACTTCAGCTCTAATTTCTTCACGTTGTTTGGCTAGAGCTTCCTGAAGTATTTGAGTGAACTGATCAGCAGTGATTGTGAATACTTCTCTGATTTGTCCTGTGCTAGACATTGTATCATCAGAAGCGATTGCAGAATAAGTGTCCGAGAATTCATCCTCCGAGGACATTCCTTCTTGCATTCTCTTGTAGTCTCTGCGTCTGATAGCTCCTAATTGGAGTCGAGACATCCTTTGAGCAATTCTTGGATTGACTTTTCCTTTCGGGGAAAAGTCGGGATTTGAGTCACTTGAATGCTGTTTAGACTTTCTTCTATCAGCCACGTTGATGGTGACTTCAGGGAATTCATCATTTTGGACAGCTGCTCTTCTTTTGCGGAAATGTCTCGGCTTAGGTTTCGATAATACAGAGACTTTTCGTGGGATGACTTCTCGTTTGAAACAGTCACATTCTGATAATGCTGTTTTAACGAGTCGCGCACAGGAACAACGAGAGTTTATCTCTCGAATAACTCTCTTTCGAAAATTATTCACAACTTCAACTTGATAATACGATTCATCGGTATGATTGCCAAAAAATCGTATCGTCTGTTGGTATGATCTCCCAGGTCGAAAATTATTCACAACCTCAACTTGATAATACGATTCCTCGGTATGATTGCCAAAAAATCGTATCGTCTGTTGGTATGATCTCCCAGGTATGACGATATCATTTGGTGAATGCGTCTTCTTCTGGGGGTATAAAACCTTGTTGGCATTCTCAGGACAATTTATTTTTGTCTTTAAGCGATCCAAGGTTATGTCGGGAGTCGCACGTTTAGAACCACCCCCTTGTGGGTATGGAGTCTTAACGGGCTCCGAATGCTGATTTTGCATAAGTCCAGACTTCAGAATCCAAACTTGGCGGAGTTTTGGTGATTCTTTGGTCACCGTTTCCTTCCTCCTTTCTCGTCTTTGTTGTAAGAGAGCACGGGCATGAACAACGTTTGCACGACGTTTTTGTATACGTTCTTGGAGGGTCGAACGAGCCCTTTTGATGAGTGTCCATTCCTCCGTTGTGAATTGTGCAGAAACGTGAGTAGTTCGTCGTTGCGTTGAACGAACCACTTGTTGTTTCCTCGACTCTAAATCCGCATAATAACGAACTCCGTCGGTTTGTTCAAATGCCTTAGCTATTTGACGAGCACGACGCTGACGCTGTCTCTGACGAGCTCTTTTCGTCAATGTCGGCGGGCTTTGATTCGATGACTCTTCAACTAGATAAGAGCCCTTGTGAGCAGAGGTGTTGCGAGTGAAATTCTCAGCAACAATCAAGCGAGAGTCTTCATTTTGTGCCTTCTTTGGCATGCAACTCTTCCTCAAAGCACGACGCTGACGCTGTCTCTGACGAGCTCTTTTCGTCAATGTCGGCGGGCTTTGATTCGATGACTCTTCAACTAGATAAGAGCCATTGTGAGCAGAGGGGTTGCGAGTGAAATTCTCAGCAACAATCAAGCGAGAGCCTTCATTTTGTGCCTTCTTTGGCATGCAACTCTTCCTCAATTGTGAGATTCTCTTGTACTTGCGAAAGGATGATGAGAGATATTCCTCAAACTTGGTTTGGTCGAATTCGTATTTGACCATGGATTCAACTGGAATCTTGATCGGCTGCGACACGACGGTCTCGGCAGCGAGACCGTTGGCTCCCACTGTGGTCGCCAGCTTGTTTTCGCCAAAAGTCGAATTTGTTGTCGAATTCATTATATCTTCGGTCGATTACAATAAATTCAAAGAAAACAGCCTTTTTATAAGACTCTTTTACACAACAAAAAGAAAATTACAACTCTTGAGAAAATAAACGCAGGATCGTTGTTTGGATCACTGCTTTCGTGGGATCTTTGCCTGTGCCGGGAGCGCTTTGACTCGTGGACCACCAAATCACAGATTCTGATTGAATCGTGAGGGGTTTATGATTCTGACTTCGTTTATCAAAGTGAGAAATTGAAACGATATCTTATCGATGTAAGATAGTCGTTCTTCTTGAAATCAAGTCAAAGCTTGATTATCAAGGATTGGCCGTAAGATCAGCGTCTCTGCTCTCTCTCTGCTCTGGATTGCTCTGGATTGCTCTGAAGTGCTCAAAATGATCAGCCCCCCGGAAAAATGACCTTAGGAGGGTATTTATAACCTCCAATAATAGTTGGCAGAAAACAGGCTCGCGAGACAGCTTTTGCTGTCTCGACGGGCGAGACAGTGTTTGCTGTCTCGGCCCGCGAGAGGCAGTAAAGCACTGTCCGACCCGCGAGAACAGTTAAACACTCGTCTGCGCGGAACAGTAACTGCAGGCAGTTTTTATCTTAACTGAGGCTCCGACCAGCTTTAAATTCCCGTTATTTTGGCAGTTTATCTACGTGATTCTCGCACAGACACGACGTTTCCCACCTTCTTCGACAGGTTAGTGGCCACGTGTAGGGGCAGTTACAAAGATAAGTTTTTGTACGGCATGCTGAAAGTGTCTCACGTGTGAGACAGTAACTTGCTTGTCTCGCACGGGCTAGACAGCAAAGACTGTCTCGCGTGGGCGAGACAGGAGTTAAAAGCTGTCTCGCCTGCAGAGACAGTAAAGACTGTCTCGGCAGCGGCGAGCATGTAAGATCCGTCTCGCGTGGCGAGACAGTCAAATTGTCTCGCAACGGCGAGACGTAAAGATCTGTCTCGGGCGTGGGCCGAGACAGTCAAGTCTGTCTCGCACGGCGAGACAGTCAAGACTTGTGTTCTTCTGCCTTTTTGGATGATTTCCCCTTGAGCTGTATTTGGATATCTTTCAGCATTTTTTTTGACGTCTACAAAAGTAAAAAAGGGAAAATATAAAATCTAGTTTAGTCATGGATCAACAAAGTATATGTAAGCGAATAAACCTAGATGCTATTCTGGTATTTCGAATAATTCTTAAATATAACCTTCAATTCTTTCTTATGTTAGAAACAATTAGAGAAGGAATACAAGATTTATCAAGGTGAAATAAGATATGGATTCATGTCACTGCTCACCAGCAATTAGTTACTAGTGTATATGTCTCATAAGCAGTAAAGACAAAATAAACACGAGAAAGCAATCCAGACTCATTTTAGGCAAAAGCGTACTCCGATAATACTCAAAGCAACTAGCACATATCAGCTTATATTTTATTTTCCTTATCATATTTGTTTCACTTAATCATTTAATGAATGTTATATAAATAAGAGTACAGTTTCGAGTATGAAGAGGGAATTATTTGATAATACTTGTACTAAGATCCCATTATAGTAAAAAAATCCCACAAGCAACAAGAAGTGTACCAAATTCGTAAAGTTGCAACTTTGGTGGATTTGCAGTAGAATCTATGCTCTGTGTGGTGCTAATTGAGGTTCTCGATCCCCATGGAAGCCTTGCCAGACTAGATAAAGATGATGTTGCCACCTGGAATATCAGCATTGGAAGCATCAAAATTTGCAACCAATAGAGGACAACTGTGATAACAACATCAGATTTCACTAAATAGCAGTTGAGTAATTTTATTGCTCAAGGTTATTTCCGGTAAGCTCTGAACTGATGGTTAAAATTTATACACAGATGAATGTTGTTGCTCATTATCAAAGAAACAGACAAGAGAAACTAGTAAAATGTGTAAGATGAGGTCTCTATAAAACACACGAATGAAGAACTTATCCTCATTAGAAAAAGGAACTATAACAAATCCTCCTCAGACATGAACTTGAGCATATCATCATGACATTTAAGGACCAGAAAAGATAGACAAGCCTACTGATTATCCTAAACCCTTATCATATGCTACTAGTAATTAAGCACAATAACACCATAAAGTTTGTTTTCCAAATTCCAACTACTATGTAAGGCTTCCAGAAGTTGAATTTTGCATGTGGGAGACTTGTCATTGACATTTACATTTTTGACTTGAATCATATCACGTGATTGAATCATGCTTACCTCTGGTACACTCAGCAGAACCGAGATGACAGAAAAAAGTGAAAATCATGACTACATCAATTTTAAGGATGCATCTAATGTTAGTGAAAGGGGGGAGAAAACACTAAATCTGGAAGCCCGATAGATTAATTTCCATAAAACATTGATACGATGAAACACTAAAATATTAAAGGGAAGAAGCTTACCTCTAAGAGATCATTCCTTTCTTGTGAAGGATCTCCTCCCTGTAACAAACAACAAAGCATACATGGAAACTAATAAATATATAGGAAAAAAGTTAAAAGGGGTATGCATATTTGTAAGGAATAATAATGTATAAGATTGAAGCATGATCAAAATTTTTGTTAACCAAGAAAAGTGTAGGCTCTTTCCAACTACAGAAAATTTCGTGACGCTAAGCCCTTCACTATTTCCCACCTACACTTATCGGGATAAAAGTTAAAACAGCTACTGCTTTTTGAATTTTTTCTAGGAATCATAATTTTGTAATTCTAAGACCTTCGTTGTTCCCTTTTCTACTCTTAACGAATAGAAAGTGTACTCTCTTCTTTTACAGTAGTCTCTCACATTAAAAATTAATTCCGGTTCCCTCTACCCAATTCTGACTTGCATCAACCATCTTTTTGGCGCAAGCTGTCAATCCAACAAGTAATTCTCATTTCCTTATCGATATTTTTACGTGATTTTGTTTTTTCTTAATGATTATGTAGGAGTTACCTATAACTACTTCCACATCTAATATTAATCTATAATCTAAAACATATATGGGCAACATAATCTGCATACGTCAGAATAACCCTCCTATCCATAAAACAATATATTCTCTATCACTAAAGCTAAAGCCACAACCAAATAGGCATAGCAGTATACATTCATGCACCAATCCTGTATTTATCGGCACACTTTTAACTAATCTCTTCTATGATTCAAAGCTATTTTTAAGCGCTTCGAAGCGAACCGCAGAGATTTCCCAATAAAAATAATATGTTCTTCAAATACCCATACACGAATTTTCACTAGTAACACATAGAACTGCTTTCATTTCACAATTACACATCAAAGAATTGAACAGCTTACACCAAAGAACTTGAGGAGAGGGCAGAGAACGGAGAGGAAGCTGCTCGCTGCTGGGCTCCCAGTGCCTGGAGAAATTGGTGGGTTTTGGATAGAATCATCCTCAGTCCTCGCAGATTTTGCATGGAATCTTCTCTCACTAGGGAATCTTAAGAACCCAGATGGAGATTTTGTTCTTGAGGATGGAATCTTTGAGTGTTGAGAAGGGAATCTATCGGGAGCCTCTGAGAGAGGAAAGGAGTGAGCAAGTGAGAGAAGTAACATTATGCTTTTTTGCTGAGAGAGAGAGGATTAGGGAGCACCGCGTGTTTGATGATATTTCTAGAGCAAACGAAAATGATGGTTATTTTAGATTCTAGTCCCTTCAATCTTCAATAATTCCATATTAGTTTTCAAATCTTTAAAGTTGCTCGTAAGCCCCTCAAATAGTCAAGTCCTAAAAGATCTTGCAAATTAGTCCCCAAATGATCACGATGACCTCCTCGCAAAAATAACAGAAGAAAACAACACCATGTGTTCACAAAAACATAAAAAAAGAGAGAACTTATGTAAATATAGACACGGATAATAATAAGATAAAAGAGAAAACTTATTAGTATAAAGTGACTAAGTGAGCATGAGAAATTTAAAATTAATATATCATCATGTTACAAACTGAGAAATTTTCTAAAATAAATAAATAAATATATATATTATTAATCCACGAATGATCAGTAAAACTATAATACGTATTAAAGTGAAGGATGCGATAATAATCTTTTAGATACATGAAAGATATACATGTTTTTTTCTTTATAAATTATTATCATTTTAAACATGTACATTTTGCGCGTGTGAAAATGCTAGTATTTATATGTTGATGCTCGTGAACAAACAGTCGATGGGGGTTGTCCACCGTAGGATGCAGCTTCGATCCTGACGGCGCTGAGGAGAAGGGAGAGGATGGATGTTGGGGCCGACGACTCCTCCGACTTTACGCCCGATTCTGAGCATGCAGGGTGAGCTGATGACCTGCACATACAAGAATCGCAGGAGTACGGGGCTAGTTTCCCCTGTGGTACCTCCGACGGTCAAGTCAGGTGTGGAGCTTGAGTGGGGTTTGGGGGAAGGTCCTCGGGCCATTGAGGTCCTCAGAGCGTACTCTTTTGAGAGTTTTCTAGTTCTTTCTTAACCCATGTAGGTTCCTGGTTTTTATGAAGAAGAAATAGCCAAGCAAAAATCACTTACCCCATGCGTTCCTCTTCTCTCCTCCTTTTATAGTCCCTTGCCTCTGAGCGTGTTGTCCCTCGGCTTTGGTTATACATAGGAGGCGGCTGAGAGGTGAGCAGTAGAGGTGCTGAGTCATCCTTCTCCTTCCATATGTCCACTGTCGATTAGAAGGGAAGTCATTCAAATATAGGAGAGAAACGGATTCTCTGTATCCTGGATTTGATAGAAGAGGTAGGGCGTAGGATAGGTCGGCTACGTGGCCGTCCTTCTCTCTCCAGGTGGCGTCTGGCGATTGGAGGAGAAGTCATTTGTGCACAGGGGAACATCATGGCAATCTTTTGGGAAATGACTTGTAAGCAGAATAAGCGGCTTGGGCACGAGGTTTGTCAGAATGGAGATCTTGATGGGACTAATCAATACTGTTGTCGATTGACATCTGAAGTGAACTTGGTCGGCTCTTATCCCTTTAGTCGAGACGGTTTGATCTGCGAGCCATCATTATGATTTGGCGACCCGATAGTCGAGTGAGTTTCGGGTCGGATGTATAGTCGAGTCGTTTGCTCGAGGAGTCGTCTTAATTGTGAGGGGGCAACTGATCCCGCACTTCGAGTCGGTCATGATGACCCTTGATCGAAATATGGCTTGTCTGCTCGTCTAGTCGAGAGACTTGACCTTGGCTGGGCTTATAAGTCTCTGAGTTGGTTTAGACCATAGCTTTCTTGGGCTTATGCAGACATTCTCCCAACACCTCTATCTTTGGATGGTAAATTACCATAACATTATACAAAACTTTTGATATCTTATTTGAAAAGTATACAAAACTATTTACTAATTTAAGATCAAAATAGTTCCCAATATGCAAAAACAGGTTTCTCACTTCTTCAGACCCTCACCCTCAAACCCGACCCGCTTTATTAATAGAAAAAGCCGACAAAAATCGATATAAAATGGAAATGGATGAGGAGCCTAAAACCCTAGCCTCGCTCTTTGTCCAGGTCGGCCGTCGACCCGCCCTCCAATCTAGGGTTTTACTCTCGTCCCCATCCCTCATCAGGTCTGTCGATTCCTCCTTTTGCTGAATTTGATCAGATATTGACATAATACTCAAAATTGAGTTTTTATGAGATTTGGCGTGATATTTTGGAGTTTTGTGAACTGGGTCTTTTTGGATCTCTGCTAAAATTAAAGATTTGAGTACCTTTTTGTTTGAAAATGGAAGTCTGCGTGAGATTAGCTTCGTTCTGTTAGGATTTTATGATTAATATTGTAGGAGGTAAATTTTTTTGTGTGTGTGTTTTTGGATTCTATTGAGAAGGTCATCGGTTTGGTTAGGTACCATGAAAATTTTAATTTTGGCTGTAGAATTCAGGGGGTTTAGCAGATAGAAAAGACTTCTTTGAGGACGGCTTTGATTAAAACTTAAAATTTTGCTTTTAAAGAAGAAGTCGTTTTTAGAAATTTTAGTTTCTGCTTACTTAGATTCTTTTGCATTTATTTGATTGACTGCCCAATTAATGAGCAAATTATAGTTTTTCTGCGCTTTTTATTTTATACACAGGTGCCTCACTATTCGTAAGATGTCATCAACTGCTGAGACCGGAAGGAGCTTTGCTAGAAGAGACCAGCTTCTCAAGATACAAGCAGAGACCCAAAAGAAATGGGAGGACCATAAAGTTTTCGAGGCTGAATCTCTCAGTACGCCTCCGAAGCCTGGCGAGAAGTTCTTTGGCAACTTCCCTTACCCGTACATGAATGGTTCTCTCCATATTGGCCATGCATTCTCGCTGTCAAAGTTGGAGTTTGCTGCAGCCTATCATAGGCTTTGTGGTCGAAATGTCCTGTTGCCATTCGCTTTTCATTGCACTGGAATGCCCATCAAAGCTTCTGCAGACAAACTTGCCAGGGAAATTCAGCAGTTTGGAAATCCACCAATCTTTACATCTTTGGAGGATGTCGAGATTGTAGAAGAAGTTGCGGAGGACAGTGTTCAAGGCGGACAACAAAAGTACAAGAGTGCGAAGTCCAAGGCCGCTGCGAAATCCGGTGGAGATAAGTATCAGTGGGAGATAATGAAAAGCTTTGGCCTTCCTGACAGTGAGATAGCTAAGTTCCAGGATCCATATCACTGGTTGAGCTATTTCCCTCCATTAGCGAAAGAAGACCTCAAAGACTTTGGAATTGGTTGTGATTGGCGCCGGTCATTTATAACCACAGCTATGAACCCTTATTATGACTCTTTTGTTAGGTGAGACCGTATTTGGTATTTGGATTTATCTTCTTATTAATGACCTACTGAATCATTCATGACTGGTCTTTCTACTTTTTAACTAGAATAGAAATAATCCATAAAGTAAGCTGCATTCTGAAATGCCCATAATGTAGTGTTTGAATCCACTGAGCAGTCTCAGTATGTAAAATTTTTATAAGTATTTTAATTTCTTATTATGACTTTTTTGTTAGGTGGCAGATGACGAAGTTGAAGAACATGGGCAAGGTCGTGAAGGATGTGAGATATGCGATCTATTCTCCATTCGATGGTCAACCATGTGCTGATCACGATAGGGCATCTGGTGAAGGTGTCCAGCCTCAAGAATATCTGTTGATCAAGATGGAGGTTATCCCTCCTTTCACTTCGAAGTTGAAGCCTTTGGAGGGTCGAAAAGTTTTCCTTGCAGCTGCAACATTGAGGCCTGAAACTATGTATGGACAAACTAATTCTTGGGTTCTTCCGGATGGTAAATATGGGGCATATGAGATCAATGAAACTGACGTTTTTATTATCACTCAGAGGGCTGCACTTAATCTTGCATACCAGAAGTTGTCGAGGGTTCCAGAGAAGCCTACGTGCTTGTTGGAGCTGACTGGCCATGACCTTATTGGGTTGCCATTGAAATCTCCTCTTTCTTTCAATGAAGTTATCTACTCGCTGCCGATGCTTACTATCTTGACAGATAAAGGTACGGGTATTGTGACTAGTGTCCCCAGTGATGCACCCGATGATTACATGGCAATGCTAGATTTGAAATCAAAACCAGCTCTCAGGTCAAAGTTTGGGGTTAAGGACGAATGGGTGTTGCCTTTTGATGTCATACCCATAATTAACATTCCAGAATTTGGTGACAAGGCAGCAGAAAAGCTCTGCGTAGATCTGCAAATTAAGAGCCAAAACGACAAGGAAAAGCTTGCAGAGGCGAAGAGATTGGCCTATTTGAGAGGTTTCACGGAGGGTACTATGCTGGTAGGGGAGTTTAAGGGAAAGAAAGTTGAGGATGCGAAACCATTGGTAAGAAATTTTCTTCTTGAGAGTGGCCTGGCAGTCAAGTACAGTGAACCTGAGAAGAGAGTCATGTCAAGATCAGGTGATGAGTGTGTCGTGGCCCTTACAGATCAATGGTACATCACCTATGGTGAGCCCGAGTGGAAAAATAAAGCAGAAGATTGTTTGGCTGAAATGAAACTTTACTCTGATGAAACTCGGAATGGTTTTGTGCATACATTGGGCTGGTTGAATCAGTGGGCATGTTCTCGCTCGTTTGGCCTCGGTACTCGTATTCCTTGGGATGAGCAGTTCCTTGTAGAGTCTCTTTCTGATTCAACTCTTTATATGGCATACTATACAGTTGCTCATTTACTGCAAAAGGGTGACATGTATGGTTCTGATACTTCTTCAGTGAAGCCAGAGCAAATGACTTATGAGGTATGGGATTATATTTTCGGCGGCGGGCCAATTCCCAAATCAGATATTCCCTCCTCTATTTTGAGCAAGATGAAGCAAGAGTTCGAGTACTGGTATCCCTTTGATCTCCGTGTATCGGGCAAAGATCTTATTCGGAACCACCTCACATTTTGCATTTATAACCATACTGCCCTTCTCCCCAAACACCAGTGGCCTCGTGGTTTTAGATGCAATGGACATATCATGCTCAATTCAGAGAAGATGTCCAAATCCACCGGAAACTTCCGGACCCTTCGGCAGGCAATTGAGGAGTTCTCCTCAGATGCTACTAGGTTTTCTCTTGCTGATGCTGGTGATGGAATGGACGATGCCAATTTTGTGTTTGACACTGCAAATGCTGCTATATTGAGGCTTACTAAGGAAATTGCATGGATGGAGGAGTTAATAGCCGCTGAATCATCTCTAAGGGTGGGGTCGCCATCTACTTACGCTGATAGAGTGTTTGCGAATGAGATAGATATTGCAGTGAAGAGTACTGAAAGGCATTACAGTGAGTTTATGTTCAGGGAGGCTCTCAAGACTGGCTTTTATGATCTTCAGACTGCTAGGGATGAATATAGATTATCTTGTGGATCAGGAGGAATGAACCGTGACTTATTGTGGCGGTTTATGGATGTGCAAACTCGGCTTATCACCCCAATTTGCCCTCATTATGCAGAGCATGTGTGGAAAAATTTATTGAAGAAGGATGGTTTTGCTGTAAATGCAGGTTGGCCCGATGCAAATTCACCCGATCTTACTTTGAAAAAAGCTAACAAATATCTGCAAGATTCTATAGTTCTCATGAGAAAGTTACTTCAGAAGCAAGTATCTGGTTCCAGAAAGCCTAAAAAGGGTGCTCAAGCTGCACCTCAACCAGCAAACAAACCGACTACAGGGCTTATTTATGTGAATGAGCTGTATCAAGGATGGAAAGAGGAATGTTTAAGGATACTTCAGAACAAATTTGATGCTGAAAAAGGCTCCTTTGCACCTGATTCGGAGATTCTTGAAGCATTAAAAGCAAGTTCAATAGGGCAAGCTGCGAATTTTAAGCAGATTCAGAAACTTTGCATGCCTTTCTTGAAGCACAAAAAGGATGAGGCGCTCTCGGTTGGTTGTCAAGCTCTTGATTTGAAGCTGCCTTTTGGTGAATTTGCTGTTCTTGAGGAGAACTCTGAGTTGATAAAGAGGCAGGTGGGTCTTGAGAATGTGATGGTATTGTCTGCTTTAAATGATGATGCACGTGCTTTAGCTGGTCCGCATGTATCTCTGCTTGATCAGAATCCCCCAGAGCCTGGCTTACCCAGTTGCATTTTCTTGTAGACGTGAGGTAAATGCTATTTAACAAAAGCTTTCTGATTTATAAAAACTGCGCAAAACAGCAGTATTTTTTTTCTTTTTTCTTTTTTCACAAGTTCCTCTATTTTCACCGTGTTAATATATTCATAATTATGGCCTGTCAGTTTCAGTGACTTTAATAACCGGTCGGTAGCTGCTACAGAGTACAATGCCTATTGAAGATGCGATATCCCAGTAAATAATTTTTTTCTCTATACAACGACTAAAAAACTAGTATGGATCTTAGCACACATGCGTAGAGTTTCCACAAGTTTATTCTTTCTATCTTTGTCTTGTAATATTTTCTTGTATATCCCGACATTGAATATCTTTTGTTTAATTTTTTTTCTCACTTAGTAACTTCCTATTTGTGCATTTTTTGATTAAAAAAAGTTTGTTTGTGTGCACTTTTTTCAATCTTATTTTGCAAATGTATCCTTCTCTTATTGAGCAGTTAGCAGAACTGTTAGTCAGATAGAATATGGCAAATTGATCTCATGCAATTTAAATCATGTGCCTCTTATGTAAGGAATATGTTACTTATCGTTCTCGCTAAATTAGTTAGGTGAATCTTAGCACATATGACTGAGTTCCTGCAAATTTATGTGTTTCATCGCTATTTTGTAATATTTTCCTATATATCCCCACATTGATTTTCTTTCAGTTTATGTTTTCTCACATGGTAATTTCCTATGTATCTGTACCTTTTTAATACTTTGCAAGTGTATCCTTCTCTTATGGAGCAGTTAACAGCAACTATAAGTCAGAATATGGTAAAGTGATCTGTTGCAATTAAATCATGTTCCTCTTATGCATGGGAATATAATCCCTATCATTGTCATTAAATTAGTTAGGTGCCCGAATAAACTCGTCTTTGTGCTTCCCCTTTCTCTGCAAGAATAGCTTGCCATTAACACCTTGGATTGCACCTCCTTCAATTCTTCTTGCTGCCCCGATAAAGCTGTATTAACTTCATAAGTTGTGTTGTATTGTACTAGCAAGCCCATCTTTCCTCTCAGTTTGGCTTCGTTCTGGGAATAATGATTGAACGTGCACCATCATCGACCCATCATCATAATAACTTATAAGACATCAAGCAAAAAGGGTGCAGTATCTCTATCCAAAAGGTCACATTTTTTGAAATTTAATGCTTCATTAAATAACATTTGATCTCAAAAGTGACTACCAGTATGTTTCTAACAAGATAAAAACAATGAAACATCAGCAATGTAAATGAAAGAGAAGAATAAATACGGACAAGAGACAAGCGAAAAAGGAAAATTTTAGTTAAAAGTATATGAAAGTTGAAGTAGGGATAGATGAATCAAGTTGATCTTGGGATATATTGGATAAAATGTGATGGTTTTGGTCCTTTAATTTCAAGATTAATTTGGAAAACCCATTAAAGTCACATATTCCATCCCAAAGGGAGTTAATGCAACTGTTTTTGGATTCAAACTATCTTTGAAATGTGTCATACATGTCTAGATACCCAAGGGTTCTTTACTCTTATTATGTGGATTACGGCTTGGAGTCATTTATTCCTTACACTCTACTTTAATTAGTCTGTTAATCTACGTTTTTTTCCGTGGTGGTGGTTAGGGCTGGGCGTATTCGGTTCGGTTCGGTTTTAAGCCCAATCCGCATCCAATCCGGATTTTTCGGATTCTCAAAACTCTCATCCAGATCCAGATTTTTTCCCCTTCATCCGCATATTCGGCCCAACCGAAATTCGGATCGGTTCGGTTTCGGTTTTGAACCGAATTAACTCCATTTCACAAAAATTTGCTCACACGGCATTGTAGACAATATTATGGAGAAAGCATAAAAGCATAACTACTTCATTATATCAAAACATGCATGCTACTGATGTTAATCACAGTAATAATTGCACATATAATATACGTTCATGATGGTAACCTGATAAATCTACAGTAATGAGAAGAATAAAATTTCCTTCAACATTTAGTAAACAGGATGTGAAAGTGGGAAAACCATTCTTGATAAACTTGAGTCCAGCCTTAGTTATGAACAGATGCAGCTCATATTTGACTACCTTGTCATCACGGTACCAAGTGTGCACAATACCATAGCTAGTTGGTACTCACAAATATAGAAATCATGATATCTGATAAAAGACAACATAAAATTTAAGGCTGCAACTTACTAGTATTAGTAAAACTAAGACTCATCAACGTCAATAGTGCAATACCTTGGATCTAGAACAACTGCAATGAGAAGTTAGGAAGAAAAATGGAGTTAGGGTTAGGGATTTTTTAGTATTTGTATTAGAGAATTCGGTTCGGTTTTTTCGGGCAGTTCAGGGGTTCAAACCGAATCCGGACCGGTTTAATTCGGTTCGGGCGGTTTAGAGTCTTCTTCTCATCCATTTAATCCGGTTCGGTTAACCGGCCCGCTTTTTCGGGCGGTTTTTTCGGTTGAACCGGATTTTTCGGATTCTCAAAACTCTCATCCGTATTCGTGGGCATCTATACGATTAACATTTTTGGTTTGTTTTTCAGTAGTTAGTTACTATCCAGGAAATTGTGCTTTCCGTATCTAATTTTGATTAGTCCTTTTTTAGGAAAGCCGTTATCAAATAGGCTTGCTTTCATGAATAGAATGTCTGGCTGATGCTTGAAATCTAATATACTTGAGTTAATTTCGTCTTGGATATGCATGACAAATTTATTTGCCTATTTTTTTGTTCCATTTTATTAGAGGGAAGGCGTGACTACACAGATTAAAAGACGTATCTGAGGCATGCAAATATTTTGTTTTTGACAATGGTAGCAAGGCTATTCGAGGAGAATGAACCTTCTTACAGAGAGACACAACAAGAACAGCTGAAGAAGTTTGATCATAATGCATTACATTGACTTTTATTCCAGCATCTTTATTTTATAATCGACATTAGCATGTCCATTTTGTCACATTTGTTTTGTCTTAGTAAGGATTATTTTGGTATGTGAAACTATGACTTTATGTAAGTTGTGCAAATATTTGATACGAACTTCAATTATTTTATGGATAATGCTGTGGATGAGTAGGTTCTGTCAGTGTGTTCCTCATTAATGTGTATAATTCTTGCTTGAGACTCTGCTGTGGTATATTCCCTGTAATATTTGTGTTGGCTCGGTATGCACCGTTCTTTGCATTTTGTTTCCTGCTCTTTTCTAGGTCCTTTTAGAAAACTTTGAAATGTGGATTAGTTATTCTTCAATTTCAAATTTTTCTTACATTTTACAGGTTTTTTTTCTATGAACTGACAGGTTGTGTACGTTTGTCTTAACGAATTTAATTTTCTTAGGTTTTATTGGAGCAGTTTGTTTGCTTTTTATTGTATTCGGTTTTTGAGATATGCGGTTTGTTTGCTTTTTATTGTATTCGGTTTTTGAGATATTAGCCCCTTACATTGAACTTAATTGGTATTAGCCCCTTAAATCTCCGTATTTTGATATTAGCCCCTCAAGTTGTTATGATGGGTTAATATAAGGGGCTTGTATCAACACATCATGGCTATTTTAGGGGCTAATATTAAAATATGAACCTAACCATAGGGACTTATATCAACATATCATAGCTATTTGAGAGGCTAATGTCAAAATATGAAGATTTAAAGGGCTAATATCAAATTGCTTATGATTTAAGGGGCTAATATCTAAAAAAACCTATTTTCATACCGTATAGATTTCCTCAGGGGATTTAAGGTTTTCATATGGGTTTTGTGTAGCTTTCATGTTTATAGATTCACATTGGAGGGAGGGAGGGAGACTACCGAGTAATAAAGTATTTGTCCGGATATAGTAATTGAACAGGACATCTATTTTCTTCTCTTCTATTAAAATGAAAATTTTCTGTTCTGAATTTTGCTATGTTCTTAGCTATGACATGACTTTAACTTTCCAGCGGAGTCAAAAGTATTTAATTTTCTTGATTGGTTAATTGGAACGAATCCTGTATTATAACCCAATTGCAGAAAGACGTCCATAGTTCTATTTGTTGCTAATAGACTCTTTGTAGTTTTATTCATCGCGATTAGACCCCCTGAGTAAAATTAACCCTCCTCGGTTTTCTATTTGACTTTTCTACTTTCTTTATTAGGTCTTTTCTTTAAAAAAAAAGATTATTCTGTCATATTTTTCTCCTTAATTGTTTGCTTTCGGCAAATGAGTTATCTTAAAAAAAAAAAGATCATGTGACATTGTATGTCTTAATAAATTAGTTTTAAGACTATTTTCACTTGCAAAGCACAGAACTAGCCAACTAAAACTCATGTCAAAAGGAGCCTTGAGCATCAAGCTTCTCTCAGCAGTTACCGGCAAATGAAAGAGCAAAATCCTTCACGTGTTCTCATGATGCACGAGCCTCAACACCAAACCGAGCGAGAAAAGTACATAACATAACCGAGGAAAGCATGAACTCAGCATAACCGCCACCCTTTCTACCCTCTATTTAAACGCTAGCAACCCCTCATTTCCCTCCAAATTTACCCAGTCTCTATCCCATGACGATCAAGCTCCCTGTCCTTGTGATTCTAACACTCCTCTCCTTCTCGGCCGCCGCCGCCTCCTCCTGCGCGCTGGGCTCGGCGGCGTACAAGACCGGCCCCGGCTGTTTGGTTTCCGCCCGCGCGGTCTTGGCAGGAAACCGATCCGACGTCGCACGGTGAGAGATTCTGCTGCGGAACGGTGTGTCGACGTGCGCACAGCATCGTTCAACTGCGGTTTCTGCGGCGTCCGCTGCCTGTCGGGCGCCAGTTGCTGTCATGGTGTCTGTGTCAACGCTGAGCGAAGAACCCGTTCACTGCGGTAGTTTCAGAACCCGCTGTCGCGTTTGGAGCTCCGTTGCGTCTTCGGCAATGTGCCGGCTTATGCCGAGCCACTGCCTCCGTTTCCGGTTCCCTCGTCCACACCAGCGGGCTACCATACCGCCATTTCCGTTCCCACTTCCTCCGCTGCGCCCTCGTTTAGCACCGCCGCAAGCACCGCCTTCGTTGGAGCTATAAATGCTTTGTTGGTTGATGTTTTGTGTGGATATGTTGATATGTTCTTCTAGGGGCATAAGTAGGATTACGTTGTGATATTTGTTGACTATCAGTCTTTTGAAACAATTATGAATGTAATAGGTTGAGAAATAATTTTTCTAAAAAAATTGATAAATATTGAAGAGGGTCTTCAGTTGGATAAATTTATGGATCAGCAATTTGGTTTTATTTTCAGTTTACTTCACTGCTTTCTGGGTAAGTTTTTGCAATTCTCATGTCCCTGACAGAAATTCTGCAGGTACGGATCATTCCCTTTAATACTTCAAGAATGAGACTTTGTCCATGACGTGCATAAAAAAAAAAAACTTTACAATCAACACTTGACAATATGCAAACTGCAGTGATCTTATTAGAAAGATACAAATAAACATTTTCCTCCTTATATTACAAGTTTAATAATAATAATAATAATAATAATAATAATTAAAAAACACTGTGCAGAATACAAGAGAACAGAATACAAGAGAATCATGATTGTATACCACAGTTGACATATATCAGACAAACTAAAACTTCTTTGAATCCAGTTGAAGTAGAAAACCTTCTGAGTTTCCTCTGCTCAAAATAAACTCTTACGAATTGCAACCTTTATTGAATTTCTTGGGGAGTTTGTTAAATTACAACCGTAATAAAGCGAATCTCATAGTGTTCGAGCTTTAATACATGAAAACTAAGTATGAGAAATGTGGACTCCAATCATTTATAGGAGAAATCCCGCAAACTAAAAAGTTTTCCTTACCCTGTAAAATCTTTGGCGATGAAAGTTTGAGTGCACCTACACCCTAGTTCCTCAATTTCCAAATCCTAAAAATTTTGGTTTAATTTCTTGAACTAGCAAGATTACTAATGAAGCTAATGAGATGCTTCAATCTTAAGTACAATCTATAAACTGTCCTATGAGAAGAATTTGTATGAACTTGCTGAAAGAATGATCGATCTTAAGCCTCCAATAGGGGATAAAATCATCAAGAGAACCCCAAGAATGATTGAAATCTGATAGAGAAACAAAATTGAAAATTTTAGTTGCCTAAGTAAATAATATATGATTTATTTTCTTACAAGGTTAGATAATGAAATTAGACTTACCCAACACGCTATCCAGTGAGGGCTAAATATCTTTGGTTTGCGAAGAATGAGCCACATAATACAAGGAAGCTACATAATAAGATGTGAGAAATTTCATCATAGTTACACTGTTAACAAACTATCTGAAATTATTAATAAGAAAAAAAAATGATACTCACAAAGTATGAAGTTGGTGCGAAAAACAATCCTCCGAAAAATCCAAGCAACCCACCAAAGAAAGGAATACAAGCTCCTATTAAGATTGTGAAACCTGCAATGCATTAATAGGATTTGATATAAGAATTTGCATTCGTGTATTTGGTTCTTAAAATAAAGAAGATATATATGCAAATATACTTACATACGTATAAACTTCGAGCTACCAAACGAAGCCGTATACCAGGGGACATTTTGCATTGGAGAACAAGGAATGATTCTAGAATATCAAACAATGGCATGGCAAATACCTACATGAATCCAAACAACATTCAGATTTAAATTTCAATAACAGTATTTAACTAAGAAACTGAACTAGAGAATAATGAAGAAGCTGGACTAGAGAAACACTGTACAAGTTCCAGGGCAAATTTGACAGAACCCCCTTGAGGTATTGCACAAAACACCCCAAAAATTGCAAAACTATACATGAATTCCCGCAATTACTGGAAAATCTCATAAATGCCACAGGGGATAGAGTAAAATGTCTAAATATGTGGCTTGATTGTTGTGTCTTGTTCTGCTCTTTATTCAAAGTAAGATTTATCATAGTTCATATTCATTACTCCATTTGTAAAGCTATTTATGAGATTTTCCAGTAGTTTAGTATCATTATGACAGTTGAGGAATTTTTATCTGAGTTATAAACTTCAAAGAATTTTCTGAAAAATCTCAAAGTAAGATTGTCTTTCTTTGCGCCGCTGTAGTTCTGTTGTTGCATGTAAATATTCCCTAACTGAAACCTTTCCGACTCTTTTACACTCAAGAGGTCAATTTGTCATAAAATAAGATTCTCTTTCTCTGAGGATAAGATATGATTCTCTTTCACCTAGGGGTTCTAGCTGCAACAATAGAACTACAACGGGAATCTGTCTGTAATTAGGCGATTGTACAGGGGCATATCCGCAACTAACCCCTGTTTGAAATTCACCTAACCTTTACTAGAACTCACTTGATAGCTCCCAAGAACATGAAGAAACACCATAAAATTAGCCACTGCAATCAACCAATTAGGCCTCTCCAAAGACATAAGCACGTCGTCTTCAACAACATTACCAAAAGCCCAAAACCCTGTAACTGCAACACCCACATAGCAAATTGCCACTATGATGTAAGCAACCACAACTCCTTGCCACATCGGCTTCGTTGAGGGTTTCTCGGGAGTTGAAGGAATTGTGGCCTGAATCTCAAGACACACACTGTGACCAGCAAATGCAAAGCCTATTGTGCCTAAAGCATTTTGAAAATACATCAAAGGTTATTCCTGCTGTATGTTTGAGGAGCGAACGCCGTAACTTATCCCTGGGTCTTTTCCTCTTATTACGGAGGCGATAAGAGCTATTGCTGAGTAACTGAGAACCAAACAAACATTCATATATAGTGAACTTATGTATAAACGTTAAAGGGTTAATTGCATTTTAATACCTTAAGAGTTCCGATCTTTTATAACTTTGGTAGCCTGAAAGTTTAAATCTGCCCAAATGACACTAAACTGAATGATCACATAATAGCATCTTCGATGATCACATAACAGAAGGTAATAAACTATAAAGTTGGCGAAATTTCAGGGTACCATGTTGGCAAACTTAAACTTCAGGATATCAAAGTAAAAAAAATAAGAGAAACACTAAGGTATTAAAGGGTAACTAATCCAAAATGAAACAACATTCGATGTTGCAGTGTGCATACCAAAATGACATGAAGGCTGCAAGCAGTGAAACTCCCCTCAACGAGTTAAAGTTTGGAGTCTGAGAGAGTATTAATTGAATAGCGCCAAAGATAAAAATGTAGTATGTCAGCTTAACTGACTTCACTGAAGGAATAAGCAAATCAAAGAACTTTTTAAGGGATTTTCCTCCAGTGACTCCATAGACGATATTTGTTGAAGCTTGAACGAATAATTGTTGTGGAACTACAATCCATAACCCCAATTTTGGACCAAATGCATGTTGACCGAGTTCATGATAGCGATCAAAGCGTTTGCCTGGAACCTCTTCGTGCATTTCTACTAGTTGCCATAAGGAGTAGAATGTGATTAGCCATGAGGCTATTAAGCTACTTAGACCACCAGCCCTGAATTTAAATTGATAAAAAAAATTGAGAATTTTGATCGTACGTAGGAGAACAAAATATGTACACGTGTTGAAGGGTATATTTCACATAACCTCCAAAAGTTTGGCATATTCTGAAATAACAGCGAAATACTTTTTTAAAATGTCGCATAACACCTAAAAGGTATTGCAGATAACCCACTAATCTAACACAACTTTTTTCGCTGTCATGTGATTTGGTGTTTTAGCAGATGGGCTCCCTGGGTGAAATTATTTTGACTCTTTTGCCCTCAGATAGACTAGACTCATTTTTTCACCTAGGGGAAATACCTGAAAAAACTTCACACACTGTAAAAGAGTCAAAAAACTGAACCCAAGGGGTCTATATATGTACCAAAAAAGAAACTACAGGAGCAGTAACTTGAAACAATTACACTACAGGGGGTGAGGGTGCAATTAACCCTTAAAAATATGAAAAAATTAAGAAAGTTTTTATATCTAAAAGACCCCGAAAACTTAAAAGAGTTTGTATTTGAATAAGGAATTATATACCATCCGAGTTGAGATAAAGCAAAAGGGAGGCCAAGAACTCCAGCACCAACCATTGCAGTTACATTGTGAAATGCTGAGTACCACCATTTTGCTTTGCGAGATGCTGTTACTGGTAGCCAATCGTCTATTTTCTTCTGCCTATCTATTTCAGCTTGATTAACCTCCTGTGTAGTATGTCAAAAATTATTTGATGTCGAAATAAAAACAAATATTTGCAAATATTTTACAGTAGAGAGTAGATTTCGATCATGTTATCGTGTAAATTTCCCGGGTATTAACAAGATATTACGTGCGCTGTACATCATACAATATACATGCATGAAGATGAGTTATAAACACAGGCTTGTATAATTGATACTATAACACAGAGAGCATGCTAACATTAGGGAAGATGAGTTATAAACACAGACTTGTATAATTGATACTGACATAGATAGCATGCTAACATAGATAGCACGCATGCACAACATACGAACATGTTTCTTAAAAATTTAACGGATCGAAAAGAAAAATAATTGTGAAGAAAAGCAAACTTGCATTGCATGCATGAAGTGTTTACACTACCACGTACATGCTTGTTAATCAAATAAGCATAAAAAATACATAAAAAGTTTTGAAGCTTAAATCGTACCCCATTCTCGTTCATTTTCATGTTATTCTTCCTTCTCTTCTGTTCTCTTCCCTTCTTTGCTCTCCTCTTGCTTCACAGAGCTCACTTTTGAGTTTTGAGGTGACATAACAACTACTAATAATAGAATTAGATCCTAAAATTAGTGAGAACCCACACACGTGTGAGGACATCAGAACTTTGAGTGAGTTTGATATGGTAAAAGCCTAACATATAGCCCGATCGTCTATAATTGGATAATTGGGAATCTTTGTATTTTTCTTCCTCTCAGATTAAAAGAGAAAAATTTTCACAAGTTTATCCAGATATCTGAATACCCAAAATCAAAGATATACTTTTGACGCTTACTTTTTCTCTTTGAATAGAATTTGTCTATTTACACATACAAGTGTAATTACTAATTGGTGTCTTTTCTCGACCATGTGTGATTTTGGGCGCAAAAATAGTAAGTTTGAGGGACGTATGCCTACCTCTTTATAAATGCACAAAAATATTTTTAATATTTCAAATCAGATTGAAAATTGAAATACATTATTCAAGGTAGAGAAAATATTTATAAGCACTTGTATATTGTATGTTATAAGCAAAGTACCAAAGTAATAGCAAATGGAGAGAAAAGTAAAAGTTAAAAACCTCAATGGTTGAAAACCAAATAGATGCAACTGTGTATACTGTCATGAACAATGCGTGACCAAACTTTAGTCATGCGGATAATGTCATAAAGAATGTGTGATTGAACTTGAAAGTAGAAGCATGTCTCTCTTAAATCAAGTAACACTATTACATTATAGAACTCATAATTGGAAGTTCAGGTTTAATCATATCATATCATATCATATCATATCATACTCATTTTAAAAGTACGAGTTTCGGAAAAACTTTCGACGGCCAATATTACCCTTTACTATTTTAAATATTACATTTTAATCATAATCTCTTCTAATATTATTCTAAAATATAGTTATCCCATCTTAATTAATATCATTCTGAAATCTATGATCTATCTAAAAGAAAGCATCAGGTTTATCCATATCCTAGGCACAAATCCCAAATATGTGTATTTCCTTTACCTTTTGGATTATATAATTACAACAACAATTTAAAATCATATATTACTACATATGTATCATCTTGGGCTTTTTAATGTCCCCGTTAGAAAAATGTACATGGATATTGCTGTAGCCGAAGACACATTAACGGGTCAAGGCGATTATTTGAACCGAATATTTTTACCAATTTGATTCCGCAAATTTAGCTTTGATTAGATTGTTATCCTAATTATCCTATCACGTAAATCAACTATCATTATACCCTTTACCTTTTGAATTATATAATTTTAAACTTTAAGAAATTACAATTGTTATTTAAATAAAAAATCTATTTACAATTGTTATCATCTCACATACAACATTGCATTATCATATATCTCATACTCTCTTTAAAAGTACGAGTTGGAGAAAATATTTTGGTAGACAAAAATACCCTTGGAATTTAAATATTATTCCATTAAGTAAGAGTAAGTTGATAAATTGATGAATTATTATTTGATATACATAGTATGAAGATAAGGATACAATTTAAATTGAAATGCAAATATAAATAAAATTATTAAATACCAAATTTATAAATGTCTACAAAATAAAGGGCGTATATATAAAAACCAAATAAATTAATGAGACAAATAATATCTACTTCAAAGGTTGAACCCGGGAACAACGTAGACCAACAAATGTACATAATGTGGATGAAATATTTATAAAATCCACCAAACAAATTAAAAAGATAAAAGTCATTCTCAAAATTATAAAAAAAATTAAGGAAAAAAAAAATCATACTCCCTTTAAAAACACGAGTTCAGGAAAAACTTTCCATAATCAAAATTACAATGTACTATTTTAAATATTTAATTTAAATTATAATCTATACTAATCATACTTATATCCTATCCTAAAACCCATGAACTATCTATAGCTCAACAATTTAAATAAGATTAATAAAATATATGAAACATCTTCGTACTATCAGTTTATTACATGAAGTATTACAAAAAAACAAAAAGTTTTGAAAATTAGGCAAAATACTCTCAAAAATTTAAAATTACACAAAATAAAAAGCTAAAAATTTAGAACTTGGCAAAGAAAAGAATAATTGTGTGAATTTTTTTCTTTAAGATATATAAATATACCTTATAATTTAAGTTTTATTATCCATTTTTAGAATCTAAAAATAGTCAAGTTGATACTGGTAAAAATAATAATAATAACAGATTAAAAATATCCAATTAAATAATAAAATTTTTAAAAAATATATGATAGATTAAAAATTAATGTTATTGTATAAATTAAAGTAACTACATATAATTTTACCAATATGTTAGAACACAAAAAATATATAAGTATCATTAACTGATAGAAGACTAAATCACAAAAAACTGATAAAAACTATAATAATATAGCTTAACATTAATTGATTATAATTTATAAATATTGATCTCTAATGGTAATAATATTTATTAGGTTAAAAATTATAAAGATTTATGTATAGAGAACTATTAGAAAATTTAGAGATATCCTTCAAAAGAATCAAACGGTTTTCATTTCAAATGAAATTTTAAACGTCCATGAATTACTTCAATTAACACTAACATAAGTTATATTTATCAAAGAAATACCGACTGAATACCCCATGAAGAATATATTGAACAACTTTGTGCTCATCAAAGAAACATTCTTCATAAAAGATATAAGAAAAATTACTATACTTTGCGTAAGCAAAAAATATAAAATCAGTATTTTTCTTTTTCTTATATAGTATTACGACACTGTGTGTGACTTTATTTAGGGGTATGACTACTAACGAATGATCAATTCTTAAAGACACTATCACAGATAATGATGTAATAGCACTATTAGAATTCAAGATCTCTAAGTATGAAAGTAGTATATTTAATTAGTAAAATTCTTATTAAAAGTCGCTAAATATAAAATTCTCTAAAATTTATAGAGGAGATATGCATATCATCGTAAATTGCATCAATAATATATATCAATCCAAAGATACAACTTACTGAAGAAATAAGAGAATAGTAAGTAAACCAAGCAAACATCCATATAACACCGTAAAGAAAAATTATTATATTTTAAAGCTAATATGCAGCGCTCTTTTAGAGTAAGCTACCAAGACAAAAGCATCTTCATTATGGCTCTTTATAAATACAACAAAAATTCAAATTACTAATATATACAAATAACATTTGAAAGAGGTATGATATTAGAAAACCTACTCTAAAATTCATATAATTAAACCTAAGAATAATTTTACCAATATACAGACACACTATCGTACATTTAAGATAACGATAACTACCATTTATAATAGAGTTGAGCAGTGATTCTATGTTTGCAAAGGCTGCAATAAGAAAGTGGATAAAGATGTTAATAATAAGTGTCAATATGATAAATGTTATAGGATCACCGATGATATAATATCAAGGTTAAGTGATATCCCTTCTTCATGAAATAAATATATCAAAATTAAATATTAATATTATAATTTAAAGTAAATTGACAATGAAAAATTTAATGTATTTAGTTTAGTTCCTCATAGAAAATAACACATACAAAGCAAATGTAACATTATGACAAATGTAACATTATGACACAGCAGAAATTCTTATTGGATACACAACAGAAGAATTCATTGCAGAGAAAAAGAGGTAGCTCCTAACCTTATTTAAGTAATAAATTAAAAGCATAAAAAATTTCATATATATAAAATTAATATTTATTCTTATTGAAATAGGAAAAAAACAAAGTCCGTACTGTCAGAAGTTTGTGTTGAATATAAGAAATATATTCAACTTCTTTGTGAATTTAGACGAGAAGACAAAAGATGAATGAGCCCAAGGAAAGATAACATGCTCCAGTCTCATATCAAAATCGATGTAGACGATGAAGACACTACTACTTTAGAATTGGCTAGAAAAAAGGTAAAGATGAAGAATGATTGATCTCGACTCAATAAAAAATAAAATAGAAGTAACAAAAGATGATGTTTTGTGAATTGTTATAGAATAGTTTTATTTTTTAGTAAAATTGTGAATCTTTAGATGTGATTTTCATAAACTATTTTAGTGCTTTCATATGCATATGTGGATGTTTTTATCATATAAAAGAGTACTAGAGTTAGCATGAATATTTAGTTTATGATTTTTTTCATTAACCATTTTCTATCATTTTAGCTCATTTTAAATCAATCATCTTGGCTCGTTGACTTTATTATTCATCTTTCTTTTATAATATTATTTTTTCAAGTGTTTTCACTTTCATAACATTATACTTCCTCAGGTCAAGCTCGGTTTCATGCCGATTAAAATAAAATAAAAATTTAAATTGGCTTTAGATTATATTTATCTCCTGACAATTCAACTATCAACATAAAAAATTTAAATTGGCTTTAGATTATATTTATCTCCTGACAATTCAACTATCAACATAAAAATTTAAACTGGATGTAGCCTATTCAAACAAACATCAAATAAATAAATAATCAAAGTGTAATCGAGTAACAAATTTTAGTAGAAAATAAACCAAAAATACTTAATAAAAGTGAGCAAAAATTATTATCAAAGAGTAACCGATAAATAAATTTTAGTAAGAAAATAAATCAAAAATACCTAATCACTGTATTTAACCACGTGCATTGCACGTACATAAAATCTAGTGTGTTAAAATACAACAGTATACATCTTATTGTGTTGTATACATAGTATGATAACAATAGTATGTAAGTAATACATCTGCTGTAATCAGAAAGGGTACTAATAGGGCAAAACGATAATGCTATTCATATTTGTCACATTTTTTAAATAGAGGAGTTTTTTAAGTAGAGGAGATATAAGTACATCAAAAATTTATTCAAAATTCAAACTTCTATTATCCACATTCATTTACAAAGATGTAGACGTAGATATAAAGTAAATTAAATACTTCAACATCCATTTTCTATGTAATAACCATGTCAAACAGAGCGAGATGTTTGTGGAATTTATAGGTGAGTATAGTTTCATATATGAAGAAGTGACTAAAAACTTAAACTTAGACGAGAAATTAGAAGTTGAGACAAATATCTGTAATGTATCTTTTCAATCAATGTTATGTTTCTTTTTAATCAAGAGCAGCTCATTGCCTATACTTTAGGACAGTATTAGCCCATGTGGAGAAGAATTGGAAAAAGCAGATTTTTGGTCATAAGTCGACTCATGCACAGGCATAAGTCGACTTATGGTAAGTCGACTTATGTTGGTGCATGAGTCGACTTACGTTCTGCTCTGGATTGTTGGTTTTTTGCTCTGCCAAGTCGACTTATCAGGTCTGATAAGTCGACTTATGATCTCTTCTCCAGTTGCTGTTTTTCGCTCTGCCAAGTCGACTTATGCAGACTGATAAGTCGACTTATGACGGGTTTTTTGGAAAGTTCAGGTTCCTATTTGCAGTCTGTTTGGGTTTCTGTTTTGGTATAAATACCAATACGATTTGAGGGTTTTGTGAGGAGAGTTTTGGGGTTTTGGAGCACAGAAAAAGAGAGATCTTTCTGAGCTATTTGTTAGGGTTATTGGTTGAGAGATTGAGAGATTTGTTGGTGAGATTAGTTGGTTCGTTTGAGCGATTTGTAATCTCAATTTGTACTCTCCTTCTCTATTAGTGAAAACCCACCCCCTTCTTGCCCCGTGGACGTAGGCAATTTGCCGAACCACGTAAAACCTTGGTGTTTGTGTTTTGTTTGGTCTTTCTCTCGGCGTTCGTTGGTTTGGTTTCTCAAAGCATCAGTCACAACAAGTGGTATCAGAGCACGGGCAACGCTTGGGCTATTTGGAGGAGTAGATCGCTTTGGAAGTTCATCTAGGGCTTCGTTTGATGATAAAGGTGGGATCTTTTTTTGTAAAAATCTCGTCTTTTTCAGTTTGGATCTATTTCTCGTTTGTTTCCGCATTGGTTTGGTGGTGCCTTGAGGATTATGGCCGAGAAAGAAGGAGTTGTGGGCAGTACTTCCGGCGTGAAGACCGTCCAAAGCTTGAATATCCACTCAATGAAGATTGATGTGGAAAAGTTCAATGGCACAAACAATTTTGGACTTTGGCGATGCGAAGTCATGGATGCGCTCAACGCGCAAAATTTGGAAGATACGTTGGAGTTGGACGGGAAACCGGACAACATTGATGAGAAGGTTTGGAAAAAGATGAATCGAACGGCGTGTGGTGTGATTAGGTCTTGTCTCACTCAAGATCTAAAGTATGATGTGATCAATGAGACTTCTGCAAAGAAGATTTGGGAGATCCTTGAGAGCAAGTATTTGACCAAGAGTGTGGAGAATCGCTTGCATTTGAAGAGGAGGCTTTACCGCTTCCAGTTGAAGAAAGGAACCTCCATTGGTGATCACATGAACCACTACACGAAGCTTCTTGCGGATTTGGCGAATGTGGATGTTAAGATTGAAGATGAGGACAAGGCGTTGTTGCTATTGAGTTCCTTGCCTGACGAGGAATATGAGACCTTCGTTCTTACTCTTATTAATGGGAAGGCATCTCTTTCGTATAGTGAGGTCACCGCTGCACTTGTGAATTATCAGCTTCGAAAGAAGGATAAGGAGACTTCGTTTGAGCCGGTAGCGGGGGCGTTGGTCGCAAGAGCAAAGGGTCCAAACCGTAGTGGGAGGTCGCAGTCTAGAGGGGCACATCTTGGAGTTCGTAAGAATCAATGTGCCTTTTGCAAAGAAGATGGACATTGGAAAGCCGATTGCCCAAAGTTAGTTGATCGAGCCGGGAAGAATAAGGGAAAAGCTATTCAAGCTTCAGAGGCGAATGTTGTCAAGGCTAGTGGCAACGATTCAGATTCGGATTCTTCGGGCTACTCGTTATCTGCACTGCCGTCAGTTTGTGTTGCCTACTCTACAGAGTGGATATTGGATTCGGGTGCTACATACCACATTTGCCCTAGGAGGGATTGGTTCTCCAGCTTTCAGGAGTTGGAAAGAGGGGATTTCGTGCTCATGGGGAATGATCACAAATGCTCTATTGGTGGTATTGGTACTGTTCGGATCAGGATGAGTGACGGGGTGATTCGGGAGTTGGTTGGAGTGAGGTTCGTTCCTCAGTTGAAGAAGAACATCATTTCACTTGGAGCTTTGGAGGCAGCTGGCTATAGGGTGACCTTGGCGGATGCACGCTTGAAGGTTACATTTGGGTCCATGATTGTGATGAAGGGCGTCAGAAGAAGAAATTTGTATTATTTGCACGGAAGCACGGTGATTGATAGGGAAATGACGACTTCATCAGATTCGGCTAGACTGTGGCATTGTTTGGTGCTGGGGTATATGATTGGTAATACCGTGCATTGGTTGTTGAGGAGTGCTATGACCTGCAGATTGAAGTCCTGTGAGCACATTAGGATGAGCGAGACCGTGGTGGAGTTTGGCACTTCTATCCATCGAGCGAGGGGTCTTTTTGGAGGTGTTCAGTCAGGCATTTGGGGGCCTTCCAAGGAGGCATCATTGGGAGGTAATCGTATCTTGGTTTCCACAGTTGGTGATTGTTCTAGGCATTATTGGGTCGCGACCAGTTCCCGTTGGTGTAAAGTCCTAGAAGTCAACAACAATTGGAAGAAGTGTATTGGCAGAAAGGTAACTCATTGTTTCAGCTTTGGTAGGGGTCCTTTCTTGCGTTGGTGCCGAGCTCACGGCAATAGGAGACACTTCATTGGTGTGGAGACTTTGGGGCGACGAGATGAGATGACAGTTTCGATGGGTCGTTCCTTTCTGGAGGAGGATCGGCGTTTGATGTCGAGCATTGGCATTGGTGTGCGGGCTTCGACATATTTGGGTCATCTTATGCATAGGTCGCCGACTGCTGCTTTAGGAGTTATTAGATCTGGTGGAGCTGCTTCAGATTTTGGGTCGCGTCGGATATTTGGATACCCAGCATTTGGTCACATCGTGGATGTGAGATTGGATCCGATTGCGCGTTTGGGGTTCGGAGGCTCAGTTGATTATCGTTTGGGAGCTTCTGATTTTGTTCTGAGCAGGTATGTCACTTTTGACTCTCGGCAGGTGGAGAGTGTTGATCAGGTCATTTGGATATCGCAGCAGGTGGAGAGTGATGCTACTCCACGTTGGGTGGAGATTACTCCACATACTCCAGATCATACTGCGTCATTTGGGATTCCAGCTAAGGTGACACAGGTTGGAGATCATTTGGTTTTGGATGCAGATGATGGATTGGTTTTGGATTCAGTTGCAGCTGGTAGATATAGTTTGGATATGGCCATTGGTTTACCTCAGGTGGAGGTGTTTGATTTGTCTCAATTTGGGGTCATTGGGAATACTATCAGTTGCAGATCGTTTGGTGATATTGGAGAAGAGTTGCAGACTTTTCTATTTGATTGAGGGCCTTTGGAGGCCGTTTGGGTGAACTACGTGAAGGCTTGATTCCTTGGGCAAAGGATACGTAGGCAGTCATTTTGATGCAGCCGATTTGGTGAGCGACATCGACATTTGGGGTGAGTGTTCACACTCTCATTTGGGTCTCAGCATGTGAGGCATTTGTTTGGTTGGTGTCGGCTCAGTTTTGGGAAAACTTCGCCGAGGTGGAGAATTGTGGAGAAGAATTGGAAAAAGCAGATTTTTGGTCATAAGTCGACTCATGCACAGGCATAAGTCGACTTATGGTAAGTCGACTTATGTTGGTGCATGAGTCGACTTACGTTCTGCTCTGGATTGTTGGTTTTTTGCTCTGCCAAGTCGACTTATCAGGTCTGATAAGTCGACTTATGATCTCTTCTCCAGTTGCTGTTTTTCGCTCTGCCAAGTCGACTTATGCAGACTGATAAGTCGACTTATGACGGGTTTTTTGGAAAGTTCAGGTTCCTATTTGCAGTCTGTTTGGGTTTCTGTTTTGGTATAAATACCAATACGATTTGAGGGTTTTGTGAGGAGAGTTTTGGGGTTTTGGAGCACAGAAAAAGAGAGATCTTTCTGAGCTATTTGTTAGGGTTATTGGTTGAGAGATTGAGAGATTTGTTGGTGAGATTAGTTGGTTCGTTTGAGCGATTTGTAATCTCAATTTGTACTCTCCTTCTCTATTAGTGAAAACCCACCCCCTTCTTGCCCCGTGGACGTAGGCAATTTGCCGAACCACGTAAAACCTTGGTGTTTGTGTTTTGTTTGGTCTTTCTCTCGGCGTTCGTTGGTTTGGTTTCTCAAAGCATCAGTCACAACAGCCCAAATATGTGCATGTTCACTCCCATATCCTTTTATCTGATATTGAAGTTGCAAGATATAGTGTATCCATTTCTTTTACGTTCATAATTAAAACATGAAGACTATATGCGATACAAGTAACTGTTACACATATATATTAGACAAATATATTACCATCTCACACAATGAAACAAGAGAATGTGACATTTGCAAACATTATAAGAAAACTGGGTTAAATTCCTGTTAAAATGACAGTAAAATTTACATAAAGAATCCCATCTTCTGGCTTTCCACAAGTTTAATCCTCTCCTCAATCTATACATATATTCACAAAGCCCTCCGACACCACCCTTCAGCACAGTCTGAAAAATAATTTACAATTGGGAGAATGAATATACATTTAATTTGAGCCAACTGAAGCTGTACAATTCCCCAATAAAAACAGTGAGAGCATATTAAAACTCTTTGTATCGCCTCTGTCTGCACAATTGAACATTTTGAACTGCTGATAAAAGGAATATTTTGAGATTGGTTCTCTTATCAGTAGTATTGTTGAGTCTTATTCTTGTCGCGAGCTTTCCTTACTGCCTGTTGGATTTGCCTCTCATGCTCCTTGAGCATGTCGTCCATGTTTCCACCTGGAGGCACCAAAGGTCCAGAATAGTGGAGCCTTTTGTTCTTGTTTCCGTAACCCTATAAACATTTAAGACACGTAAAGTGTCGAGGTATGGGGAGACAGTTGATTTCTCAAAATATTGTTTAAGTGTCATCTAAAATGTTACTATGTTAATAGTAAGCATGGTTGGATCAAAAATAAAAAATGCAATGGGAAAGGTACTCTCAATTTAACATCAAGTCAACATGAAAATTTTCTATTAAACTCATATAATTGAAAAGGGTTAATTGTGGATAGACCCCCAGTAGTCCAATTGTTGCAGATAAACCCCCTGAGTCAACACGAACTTACTTACTCTTTTACCCTCATAGAAAGAGAAAATTCTATTTTGACAAATAGACCTCCCGAGGCCTGAGTGCAAGTTTCACTCTGGGGGTATACCCGCAATTAGGCTATAGTACAGGGGGTCTATCTGCAACAATAGAACTTCATGGGATGTATCCACAAGTACAGGGTCTCTATCTGCAACAATAGACCATAGGGGAGGCTATCCGCAGGGACGACAGTACAGGGGCCTATCCCCAATTAACTTAAATAAATAAAAGAGATTTGAGCTTTACCATTGCAGAATCCTTGCCACCTCCATCATCTTTCCTGTGAGTAGAGGCAGGCCTATCAATACACCTCAAAGTTGCCTTGTTTCTTGAGGCAAAGTTTGACAAATCACCAGCATCACCATATTGAGACCTATATGATCTCTGTGTCCTCAGCTCCACACCATTCACCACCTTTAAATTACTGACTGAGCGTCCAGGAATGGTTTGACGATCGTCCTTAATATTCTTATTCCTCAAGTTTCCATAAGCACCAGGGTGCATTGTACTGCCAGCACATCGGTAGCCATCTCCTGAAGGAGGCTCGATAGGAAATCCAGCAGCAGTGTCCTCAAGTGGACTGTACTTTTGGCTTGTGCACTTGTTGTTTGCTTGCCTCTTCTGCATCAACCACACAAATAAGAAAACATTCAACTACAAGTGAACAAGATTCTTCCAGTTGGTTTTATTAAGAGTCACCTCCTCCACTAACTATTATCATATCCTTCTTGATTACTTCAACATAGTTCTTTCACGTCTATGTTTAATCCTCGATGTCTCATTAATTATAATCTCATCACTTCTCATAACTAGTGCATTTAGTCGCCTCCTTTATACTGACGGAACCTGATACTCTCTCATTTTATCCTCAATTCAAACAACCTCTAACCACCTGAGAATTGCACTCAGTTCTTATCCTATCTCTTTTTAAGTATATACCTACAAGATCATTGTGACATTCTCATTTCTGCTATGCTCATTTATTTTACATGTCACGTGTTAATTGAAAAAATTTCTGACCTATGAAGCAATTGTTGGTTTACAGGTTTCATAATAGAATTTTTGCTTCAATCTCATAGGTATTTTATGGTCACAAAGTACTCCTTCGTTTTAACCATCCTGACTTGATTCGAAGAACCACATCATTATCACTATCATCATCATGACCAATTATTGATCCTAAATAGCAAATAAACAAGATTCAAGAAAAGAAAAAATGATGGCCCTTACGATCCTATAGATTTGCCTTGCACTTTCAAAGAACAATGTATGACAATGTTTGTGTTCTCATATTTGTAGCTTACTTAACTTTTGAACTGTAAGAAAGAAAGTACCTGAACTCCATTGCCATTATATTGTAGTGGTTTTGTTTGAGAATCTCTCGTTTCTCTTCTTCCATCTTCAACTCCCCCTTTAGTAGCTGCTTCTCGTTGTCTGTCAGAAAATATGATTTATAGGAGGGTGGAGTGAATAATTACAAGACTGCTACATTGCAGAGATTATATCATCTTTCTTGAGAAAGAACTAATGAACCTCATTTGTCTCTAAGTGAGTGTCGCCAACTGGAATTCGGAGAGGAATGCACAAAGTTAGGAATCTCCCAACTCTCTAGCTCCAATGGACACTCGAGAACTTGGGGATTCAACATGGATTTATGTCTATAATTTGATTGAGTGAAGTGTTACTTGACTGCATGTTAATAACTTTCTTTATTCATTTTTGAAATTTTCTTTCTTCAAAGTGTGTTCTTGTAGAAATATGAAAAAAAACAATGAAACACTAAAGAGCGTTTCTTTCCATTTTCTTTGAATATCTACCTCTTAATATGGAAAGTCAGATAATACTCACTTAGGTGAGCTCACCATAGGAAAAAAAAAGCTAATTTGCATAATTTGTTTCAAACTTGATTTGCCAAACGTAACTTTAGGAAAGTTGATGGAGATTCCTTTAAGGCTTCTTTCCTTCCCCTCCAAATTCCTTCTGCAGTTGCCTCTATAGAGAATGAAACAAATTCTTTCAAGCTATTTCTAGATTCATAAAAATAGTACCTCCTAGATTCCTCATCCCGAAGCCTAGCACCATACTCCTTGCTTGGTGGATATTTAGGCAAACTTGATGGATCACAAGCAAAAGGCGTTGTGGTGAAAAACTAAAAAAAAAAGACTCTATATTAGTCATGAAAAGCTACCAGGATAGAGAATGAGAAACCAAGATATTAAAAAAAGAACTCATAACATGAAAGGAAGGCTAATATGGAGGACTGCAACATAAAGTTATATGCAGTCAAGAAAGCTAAGATGGCCTGTCTTATGAGATTATATGTATTTGCCAGGTTCTCAAGTCAAAATGCAAGAAAAAATATATTACAAACCAGCAATGTAAGGTCCTAGAAGCTCACCTCACTTTGAAGAGCAGAAGCAGCTGTTCCCCTTTCATCAGGTTCTATTGCAAGAAGTGTATCAAGAAGATTTAAAGCCGAAGAAGGAAAATCCCTAAATGTCTCAGCAATGCGACGAGGATATGGATGTTGAGGTCTGAAAATAGTTGATTGTGAAAGCTTTGCTCTTTTCCAATAGTCCTCTGCTGGTGATCCACAAAGCTTGAATATCTTATGTAGTTGTTCAACCTAAAAAAAGGTTTTAGTTCAACAATGGTCAGATAGTGAAGCCAGCTTTTAGAACAAACAAATTGGTTAACTAGGTAGAATCTAGCTTAAAAATGATCATTTTGGTCCAGTCCAACTGCGGTATTTTATTTACAGCAAATTGAATGATGTCACAGACTCATCAAACTATATGAAAATATGTTCACTGAGAGAAGAGAAAAGGAATTAGAGATCTCAGAACTCAAAGAACTGCAAAACCTAGTACATTTGAAAGTTTTTATGATATCTTAAGAAGACTCAAATATCAATACATTACTAAAAGGAGAACCAATAAATTTAGTACATTACTGAGAGTAGTACCAATAAATTAGACACCAATTGGGAAGGCAATATATCAGCATGTTCATGTGAATCTCAAAGATCAAATAAATTGATTCAGCTTTATTTACTGGCACCTAATTATGTACCACACTCATTATTTGGTAAACTTCGTCCAGCTATCAAAGTTGAAAGGTTCTTCAAACGATTCAATAATAGTGTTAATTAAATATAGACCCCTGTAATCTCATTGTTTTAAACTTACTACTCTACTTTTATTATTGCAGATAGACTCCCCAAGTGGAAATTTTTTGATTATTTTAGTCTTGAAAAAAATAGAAGATTGTATTTAACAAATAGACCCCCTGAGTAAAAGATTACAAGAAAAAAGTTCACTCAGAGGGTCTATCTGCAAAAATAAAACTAAAACTAGAGAGGTAGAAAGTTATAAAATAGTGTTACTACAAGGGGTCTAACTGCACAATTAACCCTCAATAATATACCAAGATGCACATGCACAAACTCCATTTCTTGCTAGGTGTTCTATAAATAAGAATGTAAAATTTGCCCCAAAAACTATCAAACCATTAAACCGGCGGAGAGTTACCTCAGTTCTACCGGGCATAATAGGCTTCCCAAAAAGTAATTCAGCAAGAATGCAACCAGCACTCCACAAATCAATAGCAACATCATATTCTGTTGCACCCAGTAGAAGTTCAGGAGGACGATACCATAGAGTCACAACACGACTTGTCAATGGTTGTTTTTTCTCAGGATTAAAAACCGAAGCAAGTCCAAAATCTCCTATTTTAAGATTTCCATTGCTGTCAATAAGAAGATTCGCACCCTTGATATCCCTATGCAGAACCCCGCAACTATGACAATGATCGAGTCCACTGAGTAGTTGTCGCATGAAACACTTGACCTGAAATGGATGACAGGGTACCAGGAAAGAGATGAAAATATTCTCAACGTGTTAGAATTTAAGTGTATGTTAACAACCAGACATCAACAAAGGTTTCATCCCAAATATTTGAGTTTACATGAATTCTACTCTTCCACTTAGTTCTGTTGAGGGCTATCTTCTCCACAAAGAAATTATTATCATATCCTTCTTAACACCTTATAACCAAGTTTGATATAACATTTTGATATTAGTTCCCCAAATCATTGAAATTGAAATTAGCACACCCCCCCCCCCCCCCCCCCACACACACACACACACCAAAAAAACAACCATTTGGCGGGTTTTTTTAAATTTGGAGTGGAATATTCCTTTGACTTTAACTAAGTTTGGGGACTAAGTTAAAAACACTTAAAAGATTTGGAGGACTAATTTCAAAATATGAAAGATTTGGAGGACTGCTATTGGAAGAAAAACCAATAACTTATGTACTATTAACTGCACTTACTTGTGGCTCGGTGAACTTGATACCGGGTGTTGCTGCTAGCCCAGCAAGATCATGCTCCATATATTCAAAGACAAGATAGAGGTTGGATGACATTCTTGATGTAACAATACCTTCGAGTTTAATAACATTCGGGTGATCAAGTTTACGGAGAATATGAATTTCCCTTGCCATAAACCGCACACTCTCAGGATCCATGTTCACAAATCGCACTTTCTTAAGTGCAACAATTTTTCCAGTCTCTAGATCGCGGGCTCGGTATACACTACTATAGGTTCCTTGTCCAATCTGCAAGATATGAGTGCCAAATTCAGTAAATTCAGTAAGGACTAGATTTACTCGCTTAAATGCCGACAATGACAATTTCAAGAAAATTCGATATTTCCAGCAACCTCGCCAGAAGAAAAATAAGATACAGAATAAAATACTACAACAGTCAACATGGTTTTGCAGATATTGGATACACAGTTAAAATGATCTATCTCCAAAAGGAATACTGGATATAACAAAACATAATGGAAAAGGATTTTGGCAGTGCTTTGTGAGTATTTCTTTTTGAAGGCGAGCTTTGTGAATATTTGATATATGAATCTAGGTCAACAGGAAGACCAACATGCTCAAGTAGCATTCGCCATACTCATGTATGATTGTGAGATATACAAAGGGTTATTATTGCATTACGATACAGTAGATGCTAAGCAATGGGAGCACTTGTGATGTTGATGAGCGAGTGGTTTCCAGCAGTAAAACAAGCACCTATAAGTGTGATACTTGCATCAATATGAATAACAGTAGGCAAATTAAAACCACTGTGTCTTAAGTTTAATTCTGTAATTAGCAAACAAATTAACTTAGTAAATATGGCAACAGTATACATGCCGAATATCTATGAAACTTTGTAAGAGTTAACAATGATGACAAATGCAAAATTGGGGATTTCTGATCTTTTGACTTGATGAAAGTTTAATTGGTAACACAGAGAATGAACTAGCCAAACATATCAAGGATGAGATCAACATTTTCAAAGTTATCTTACCAATACCAAACAAGATTAACTATACCCAAAAGCTTATGCCTATAGATCCATACATATATCTATGCAATATTAAAGCGAACATCAAAGTCAACCTTATCTAATTTCTCAAAGGAATCGGCTCTCCTTGGCAACCACCCTTTAATGGCCTCTGCAGCAACCAATGTCAACCAAGGAGGCCAACCCGCATTAGAATGCTCCAAAGAGACTCCATCGGACGCATCTTCAACCACCAAACCCCTATTGCCACGTCTCGAACTCAAGTCCTCATCGTTAACCCGGTCATCAACTGTGATGCTCCTCTGATGCCCATTAGAGATCCTCTTCGTAGAACCAATAGGCACAATAACTGCATTTTCTTTCACTTTCTTCGATTGGCATCTCAAAGAAGCAGCCTTAGCTATAGGATTTGCCTCCACATCCTCCTCTTTCTTTGAAGGTGTGGCAACCCGTGGCAGGGATTTGGTGGCAGATTCTCTAATACTACTGGCCTCAGCGACAATCTCATTTTTGTTGATCCCTTTGGAGCAAATGCAGCCCATATGCACCCAAAGAGAGGCACCAATTTCTCACTGGCACATTAATTCAAACACTTGGGCTTCATTCTCAACATTTTATTTTTTGAGGGATTGTAGAGCTTCAACGGGTCAAACTGGATAAGCCAGAGGTTTCCAAGGATTCCAAATTGCTCTCAGGGGAGAGGATGAAATCCCCAGAAATTGGAAAGCCAGACGGGAAATGGGTCGGCGATGGCCGGAGGTGCATCAAAATCCCACCTTGCCGCGGGGAATCTCGCAATGAGAATCAGCCGGCGGTTTGGGGGGATTCAATTTCATTGAAAAAAACAAGAACTTTTTTTTTTCTCTTTTTCCTTCTTCGTCTCTTTCTTTTCTCTGGCCGTTGCTTTCGTTTTCTATTTTTAAGGAAAATATTGTTTTGATTAAATTAAAATTAGTTGGATAATGGAGAGGAAGAAGAAAAGAGAGGGTTTTGCGCGCGAAAAACGCGGGACGCCCTCGGATGCTTGGAACAGTAGAGGGATTTTTTTTTTTTAAAATGCTTAACAGCGACTAGCCACTGAAGATGAGAAGGGAAACTTTTTTTTATTATTTTAATTTTATTTATTTATTTATTTATTTATTATTTATTCCCACTTTATTTGATTGCGGGTTGAGGAGAGCACGAACATTGTGAAGTTGACATTGTTGGATTTCTAGTTAAGTTATTTAATGAGTTTGAAGGTTCGGTTGTCCTACTTTTTTCCTTCAAAAAATTATTTGGCTGGTTTGCAACTTTGAATCTCTAAAATTGTATATCGAATTTTCTATCAGTAAATAAATAAATAAATAAAATCAAAGAATTCAATCCAGGACGTGTATCTGCCAAAATGAAGTATAAAGGTAAATAAATTCAACAACTATGCTAAGGCAATCTACGTGTAATTATCCATCTATCACATCATGATATCAAACACATATTTCTTTGCAAAAACTTGCAATTATATGAATCTTTTCCATTTATAAAACAAAAATACAACTGTAACTTTAAAAAGTGTTGAATTTATATCCCAATGGTATCAACATGGATTCAGATCTCTTCAATTAGGTGGTAAATTCTCTCAATTCTTATAGTTTTTCTCAATTCTAATGGATGAGATTGTGCCACATAAGATTTTCACAAATGGTTTTGACTATATTGATGTTCAAGTTTACTAGTAGTTTTTCAAGATCCAAGTGGTTTTCAAGATAGCAATGGAGACCTTACGTTACGTGGTAAGTGATATAGATGGTAATATTTGAGAGAATTTGACCCTCTCTAATTACCACCTAATTGGAAATGATCTAACTTACCAACTGTTGATGTCTGATATCAAACAGTCAAATAAAAAAAGTGATTAAGTTGACGGAGGTCCTTTAACCCTCCGAATATCTGGTTCTAGTGTAGGCTTTTCTTCCCTGCACAAATAGCAAATTGTAAGAGGGCGGGGTTGGGTTCCACGATCGAGTCAGTGATTTGCTTGAGTGAAGAACTAAAATGAACTGCAGTAGTTCTTAAGCACAGTGAGTAGCGGTAAAGATCTTGAACTCCAAGGTGATTCAACTTTACTAAAACTAAGTTGACTGAGCAAATAAGCTCGTGCAAATAAGCTCGTGGACTATTTCTATACTCAACGACCTAAGGTCAATTGAGTTGGGATCCACTGGCCCAAAGCTCATTACATGGTCACATAGAATAGCCTGATAAAATAAAAAAATCACCAAGAAATGAAAAGATAATATAGTTATTATATAATATTATATATATATATTAATATATATTATTATATTATATATACTATATATATATATATATATATTATATATATATAAAGAAAAGTCATGTATTCTTGTAAGACAAACTTGATCAAGAGGCTTGGAATTATTGAAATAAAGGGTTGGCATATTCTTTTTGGGAAGTTAAATAAGAAGTTCTAAGTCACGCTTAGTTTTGTATGACTACAGTGAAAAGATTTTCTGAAGAGTTTACTTTGGATTTATGCATAAAAATATTTTTTTTTCAAGTGAAAAGGCTCGTATTAGTTAGATTGTTTGAAGATGATCACTATGTTTTTATGCCCTCATTATCTATTTTATTAAATAAATATACTTGTAATATTATTTGTTTTATGAATTTACAGGAAATAAAAAATTATCAAATAAAAGCTCAAAGAAACCCAAAATACCTCCACTTGAAGCCTAAAAGAAGACTAGAGGAAACCACAAAGCCCAAGAGGAGTTGAGTCAACAAGTCAACTCAAGAAAATAAAATTTGTTAAAAACTAATCGATTAGCTAATCTATTAGCTAATCTATGAGCTAATCAATTAGTGTGTAACAAAAACTAATCAATGGTTGATTTTTTTTTCTTAGAGCCCAAGTTTGATCCAATGGCTGTTTTGGTTGTTGTAGGCTATAAATAATGATAAAGAGTCAAGGTGAGAGATATTTAAAATTTTGTAAACTCTTTTTTTAGAGAGGAGGGCTACTCTTTTTGAGAATACCTTCAAAAATTGTGAACTTTAGTTTGCAATAAATATTTTTTTTCTTTTTAATTTTGTTCTTCTTCTCTTTTGTTTACAAAGATTTTCTTCACAATGGGCTACCTTTTGCAACATAAGTTTTTATTTGTCATCTCTTATTTTCTTACTTAGAATTGCATGTTTAGGATTTAATTTCTTATTTTCATTTCATGCTTTGTATAAGTTTTTTTATTTCTTGCTTTTTATTTATGCTTTATAGTTTCGATTTTAATTTTTTATTTTTATTTTTATTTCTTATTTTTATTTCTTATTTTTATTTCATTTTTTGTAGTTTAGATTTTTACTTTCTTACTTTTTGTTCATGCTTTAAAGTTTAGGATTAATTTCTTTTGTAATATGAGTAGCTATTTCTTTAGAATTTCTAGGATTGGATGAAACGAGTTAGCTTCCTTTTTGGTTTTTAAATTGCTCTCTTTTTGTGCTTAAATGATCATGCCAAGGATAATCAACAAGAAATAATAATTTATAGAAAAAGAATTTGATAGGCTATACCTATCTTAAATGGTTTGATAATATATGCTTTTTTAATTCTAGAATTATTTTCTAGTCATTTATTTCTATTTATGAATGGTAATATTGCTTTAATATGTTTTTGATATATAGGTTATGCTTGTTTTAAATAACTTAACAATCTATGCTTAAGAATTCTAAATAATATGATAATTAAAAAAGAGTAGATCGTAAATTTAAATAAGAATTAACTAGTACTCAATCCTAGATTCCTACTTATTCACTTGATTTTTTTCACATTTTTACTTGCTTATTCTTTTGGCTTTATTCTCTTTCTTATTTTCTTATTCTCTTTCATTAATTTCTTTCTTTCTTTCTTTCCCTTTTCCTATTTTTAGCCTTTTTATTTGCAATAGTTACACCCAAACCAATCTCTATAGACTCTCTATTTTTTTCATATTTCAAGAACCATTTTAGGCCTTATCTAATATACTCCTTCCTCGTGGGATCGACATTTGCGTGCTACACACTAGTTGTGCACTTACAATATTTTATTTAGAATACATTAAAGTTTTGGCGTCGTTGTAGGGGAAGTGCTTGTAATTAGAATTTTTTTTATTTTGGTTCTTTGATTTGTGTGTTTTATGGTGAAGGATTAATCAAGAAGAAGATTAAAGATTAGAGAAGAAGATTTGCCATTTTGTAAGGTCAAATAAACATGACAGCGGCACTAGGATATAGACAAAGATTGACAGGGTTCTTATCAATGGTGACTGGATATATGCATATAATTCTAGCTCTGTGGATTTTCTACGTCCATCATTTTTAGATCATTCTTTAGAAATTATTATAGTTTATTAAGATCATTGTAAAGGTTCAAAAAAACATTGTAGATTTTTTAATATGTAGGCAGATCATCCTCATTTCAGTAGCATTGTTCAAAGAGTATAGAACCAAAGAGTTAAAGGATGTCGCATGCTTCAGTTTGACAGCAAATTGAAGAACCTCAAAGTTGAACTAAAAGCGCTCAATAATAAATATTTCAATCATATTAGCTCACATGTTGCCAGAGCAAAGTTGAATCTGTCTGATGTCCAAGTTGAACTTTAACCAAGAATTGATCAAAAAGGAAAAGCTTCTACTAGATAAATTCATTTCTCTTGTAGCTGCTGAGATGTCATTTTATCAACAAAAGGCCAAGATCAACTGGAGCATTAAAGGTGATTTATGTGCAAGATTTTTTCATAATGCTATGAAAACCAGAAAGACACTTCAATAAGGTGTATGTTTTATATGATTTTAATGATAATAGACTTATAGAGGAGGATACTATCGTGGATAAAACTCTCAAATTTTATAAAGGCTTGATGGGTACAGATGTACATACTAAACTTAAACCAAGCTTGGAGGTGATCATAAATGGCCAATGTCTTAATGCTACTCATCAAGAGACTCTTGTTCAGCTAGTCACAAGGGAAGAAGTGAAACATGCTGCATTTTTCAATTGCTGAGGATAAGGCACCGTGACCAGATGAGTATTCTGCCAAATTCTTCAGATCAGCATGTGATATTATTGGTGAACATCTTATCAATTCTATTCTTGATTTTTTTTTTTTTACAATGGCAATTGCTTTAATGGAACACTACAAAGGTATTTTAAAGTGAAAAGAGGTCTTAGGCAAGGTGATCCATTATCTCCATACCTCTTCGTATTGTGTATGGAGTATTTTTCCAGTCTATACTATGAATGTTCTTCAAAATGTCCTTCATGGGTTTGGCAAAGTTTCTGAGTTGAAAGTTAATCCAAGTAACTGCTCTGTGTTATCTAGATTGTGACAATCTGGTTCAGAAAATCATTGCGAAGATACAAACATGGCAAGCTAATAATCTCTCTTATGTTGGAAGATTACAGTCGGTGAAAAGTTTGTTATTTGGGGTTCATGTGTACTGGTCCGTTAACTTTATTCTTCCCAAAAGAAAAGTCCCTTGTAAAGTTGATGAATTATATACGCATGAAAAAAAAAGACCTTATTTGGATCAAATGGATTCATGAAACTTACCTAAAAAGAAACAATATTTGGACTGTTTCAGTGAGACAGCGTGACTCATGGTTGTGGAGGTAAATTCTTAAGGGGAGAATATTAATGAAGCTTTGGCCAAGTGGGGATCAAATTGAGGCAGTCCAGTAACTTTTTCAAAAGTGTGACTGTGAATGGCCAGTTCAAAATTGCAAGTGCTTATGGTAATATTCTTCTTCTTAACTCCTCCTCTCTAGTTCATTGGTGCAATATTGTGTGAAGAGAAATTACAGAAGAATTTTCAAAGGAGAGGGAAATTCCATAGGAGACGCGAGTTAGGATAATTAAATCTTCTGTTTTAACCTGCTTGCTTAATCGAAAAATACCAATCAGGTACAGGAATTGTGTTGAATCTATGTAATCTTGTAGCTTTTATTTCATAGAATTTTTTGTAAAACACAGGATATGCCTGATGCTAAGTGTTGTACAAATAATTTCACATGGTGAACGAACAAAAAAGTATTGTTCATTGAAGAAAAAAAAGTTTGTTTCCTTTAACATGCTTCTGCTTAATCTAGCAACTCAAAGCCTTCACAGCAATTACATCAACAGGACATCAAATAAGTACTACCCTGCAAACTTGGGATGATATGAAACTTTTCCATTTATGTAAAATTTATAACCGCAGCCAAAAAAAGTGTCGCCTTTACATCAAAATCATAGAAAACATAAATAACAACGCCGCAAATGAAAAATATCAAATTCCTGATCATATCTGACCCAAGGTAGATTTCAAATAGATAAACCTCTGTGCTTCCATTACTCTACCAGTTCTAGTGAGAAGTCCAATGATAGAATCACAATGCCCTTCAGTAGCCTTCAACTTATACTTTTTCACCATAGAATCAAACACCTCAACAGCCTCCTTCGCAAAACCTGCTCTCTCACAAATGCCCAAGATAGCATCAAACGTAAAATGATTTGGCACATAACCCTGTGATTGCATCCAATCGAAAAGATCAATAGCTTCTCTGTAACGACCGTTGTATCCATAAGCTTCTATTATCGCTGTACAAGTTAATGATCCCTTCGAATGAACTCCATCGAATACTTTCCTTGCATTCTCAGTATCCCCATTTTTCCCGTACATTTTCACAATCTCGCCTACTAGAAAAGGAGTTGATTCGAGTTTCATCTTATATACTTGTGCGTGTATCTCCTTTCCTGTCCTCAACGCTTTCAAATTACCGCTTATGCTCAAAACCCTACCTAATGCGACTGCGTCTGGATTGTGATGAACAAGCCTCATAGATCTAAACACATCCAAGGCATCAATCAGATGATCATTCTTGATGTATGAATCAATGAGAGCCGTCCAAGCGATGACGTTCTTGTTCCTCATACCATCAAACACTCTGCAAGAACAATCCAATTTTCCACATTCTGCATACATGTTCACCAACGATGTTTCTACTGAAGAATTGGGAATAAACCAGTTCTTCAATGCGTATGCATGGATCTCCTTCCCTTGTTTCAAAGCTTTAAGTTGTGTGCATATCGGCAAAACAGTTGCAACCGTAACTACATCAGGCTGGATGCGTTCGTGTTGCATCCACACAATCGATCTTAAAGCCTGCTCTAGCCTACCGTTAGATGCATACCCGGATATAAGAGCAGTCCAGGAAACTACATTCCTTCCGGTACTCCCGTAAAACACGTGCCGTGCCGAAACCATATCTCCACACTTGCAATACATATCAATCAACCCCGACAGCACAAACATCATCTTCTTGAATTCCGGATACCGTCTAACCATATACCCGTGAATCTCCCGCCCCAGCTTCCTGTCCAACACCTCCCCGATCACGGGCAGAACGGACGTAACAATCACAGAGTTCATCTCGATCCCCTCGCTCACCATCCGCCGCCAAACAATCAGCGCCTCCCGCCTCATCCCTTATGCGCGACCCGAGATCATCGCGCCCCAAACAACCACGTCCGCTCACGCATTTCGTCAAACACCTTCCAACGCCACTGACTCTGCCGCATTTGAAGTACATGTCGGACCAGGCTCGTCTGCAGCATCACAGAGCTAGCGTACATCCGCTCTCTTGACTCAACAGCCGCGTGCCCCCGGCGCGCCCTGGTCCCCTGCGCCGAACGCGAGGGACCCCGCGAGGCTCTTCGATCAGGCAAGAGAACGATGTACGTTGGCCTCGACCCCGCGCCCCGCATGTCGTTCCAAGGCGTTCGCGGAGTCGACCCCCGCGCTGGCGCGGGTGGCGTGCCTTGAGCAGCGGCGTTCCAGGCGTAGACGGTCGGGGGCGGGCTCCGGCCGAGGAGGTCGCGTGGCCTCGCCGGGGCCGCAGGCGGAGTAGGCCTCACGAGGCGTGGAGGAGGAACTCCGTTGGAGGAGAGGTTCTGGAGTACTCCCGGGCAAGTGAGGAGGGCGCGGGGAGGGGAGGGAGCGGAGGCGGGAGGAGGAGCGGAGCGAGGTCAGGAGAAGAGGTGGGGGAGACGGGACGCCGCGGCTAGTCGAGGTAGTCGAGGAGGGTCAGGGCTTCGGGAGCTTGTCGAGGGGGGAGGCGCTGGGAGGATCGCGGTTTAGGATGTTGGGGTTTTTGCGAGTGGAGGCGGGAAAGAGGGCCGGGGTGTTCGGAGGGGGCTCTGGGAGTTTGGAGGGGGTGGGAAGGGGCTGGAGAGACATTTTTGATGGGGTGGGTAGGCGGGTGGGCTTGAGGGCGGGTGGAGGGGCGGGGGAGGGGGCGGTTGTGGGGAAGCGGGGGGAGCAGTCCATCGGCTGGACCGCCGCGGCCACCATCCCTGCCCGGCGGGGACGGGAGAGGGTGGATTGGGGAGGGAGACGCCAGCTTGATATTTTTGGCGATTTCACCGGGACAAAATGAGGAGCGGGGCCGTGCAACCGGTCGGTGGGTTCGGTTTTTGGCCGGATTCGATCGAACCGAACCAAACCGAACTACCTATTGTTGAAGACCGAACCGAACTGATTCAAGTTCACAGATTCTCTTGCAAAGAGAAGTCTCCTCCAAAGATTTTCTTGCGTTATGTATATCAATCAAGGAGAAAAATCAAGAAAAGATTAGAATAAACATTATGGTTTAAGTTTCTTACCTCCAAAGTCGGTTGGTTCAAGGTAGAAGAAGCGAATAGATGATAGAGAGAGGTAGAGAACTAGGGATTATGAAAAACCCTAGAGTTGGAGAGGACACCATTGTTGGGGTATTTCACCGCTATCGGGTCACGTGAGAGAAAAAGATATCAAGATGCAGCGAAGCAACTTTATATGAACTATAATGGGTTGGGTTTAACCGGATGCGGATAGTAATTGGAATGGGTAACACAATTCAGTTGGTTTGGGCGATTCAGATTGAAAAAATTTCAACCCGACTTGAACCGAACTTTAATAAAAATTGAATCGAGCTGTCAAATTTTGGCCGGCTCTATCGGTTCGTTGGATTTGAACCGAACTATACTCACCCTAATGAGGAGGATTTTTAAGATATATAGGCCCTCCAAATCATCGTTAGAATTTTTGGAGGTTTGATGGCGCACCGTACAATTCCTCCTACTTGGCACTTATACATGTCATATGTTTTTTTCACAAAATTTATATACCTTAATTTTTTTAAATTTTTGCACTTAAATAAGCTCAGTTATGCAAACGTGAGAATCTCTCTTTAAAAAATTTCGTGCGATACTCACGTGCTAATTTTAGAACAATTTAACTCTTAATGTTTATTAAATCTATTCATATTAAAATTCTATTTAAAATAGAATAATTAGGGTCTGAAATAGAATGATACTAGTTTTAACGATAATTTAACAAAAATTAAAGGCTTATATTTGTTTAAATAGCATACGAGTGTCTTATGATAATCTTCCAAAAGAAATTCTCGCATTTGCTTAATTTGGGATATTAAAATGCACAATTTAAAAACTTCAGAATGTATAAGAGCTGTCAAAAATAATTTAGGGTTTATAAGTGCAAAATAGGAAGAACTATAGGGTACTTACTTGCAATTAAGCATATTTTGAAATAAGTCAATGAAAACGTAGTGGCCTTTTGATATTCTTGTTCTGTTCTTGGTTGTTTGGATAAATGGTTTCAATCGATTTAGATCCTAATAATTAGTTGAAGGGATGCATTTATTCAAGTCTACTGTGATAATTAAACAGTAGCGTGAACTAATAACATTTTCAATTTCAAAGATTTGAGGGACTAATTTCAAAATGTCTTTAAGAAATAAGAAGCCAGTAGCATTCTAATGATTGTGAGGGCCTAATTTCAAAATATTTTATAATTAAAAATGACTACAACCAAAGAACCAAAGGCTAATTTAACACTTAAATACATTATTGTTTTCCCCATTTTTGCACTCATACACGCCACTATTTTTTGCTGCACGTATACACTTTAAAGTTTCTAAAATTTGTACTTTAATACCTCCTATTATACAAGTATGAGAACTTCCATGTCGTTAAATAAATTTTTTAATTGGAACAAATTGCATGTAGGGTGGTGTGAGAGAAGTTCGAAACTTCCATATCGTTAAATAAAATTTTGAATTGGAACAAATTGCGTGTAGGGTGGTGTGAGAGAAGTTCGAAGTTCAGAGGGTTCTGTGAGACACCCCAAACCAAAAGCTTAACAGCATAATATGAGATGAGCGAAGTTCAGGGTGTTTTTTGCAATTAGCCCAAAAGAAAAACTTCCAAATCTCCGGACTCGGTGCAAGCCACAGGAATTCTATTATCCTGCACGAAATCATCAAAACCAACAGTAACCAACGCTCTCCCAATGTCGGCCTCAACCTCCCCCCAAATCCCAATCCTCGCGAAAACCCTAACTAGGGTTTCTCGTCTTCCCCCAAATTGTAGCATCCAATCCCCTAAAACCCCCAATTTCCGCAATATCCACAGAATCCCAACGGCAGTTGGGTTCAATCGACGTCCGCAGGCCCCATTGGCAGCAGCGTCAAGCTCTCAGCTCTCAGAATTGGAGGTTTCTACTGCTGCAGATGTTGTTAAGGAGTTTTATGATGGAATCAATCGCCGCGATCTTGCGGCGGTCGAGCGGTTGATTGGCGATGAGTGTGTTTATGAGGATCTAGTGTTTTCCCAGCCTTTCGTTGGTCGCAAGGTGCTTGATTGATTTATCGATTACGCTTCCCATTTATGTTTAGTTTTAGCCCTGATTGTGTATGTTTGCTTATGTTAGATGAAATAACAGTGCCAAATTTCAAAATTATGTGGATTATAATTGCGACGTGATAAAAATGTTTAATTTCAGGAGTTAAAAGAGAAAAGAATGTTTTTTTAAAAAGTAATTTCTCCAGACCCGAAGAAAGTGCTCCCTTGAGTATCCTTAAAAAGCACCAACTGACAGTTAATGTTCTCAATGTCGAATGTCGGTTGGACGGAAAATTCCATATTGAATGGTGAATATCGGAGTTATTTGGTAAACATGGGGGTATGATATCGGGTAATGTGTATACATGTGTATACATATCATATATGTCCATACTTGATGATGCCTCGTAGAACGGAGCAATGAAGAAATTGCTATCTTTTGATAGTGATACAAGTATCCCCTTGCTGGAGTAATGTATACAGAGAGAAATTTTGGAGTAACATTTATTTTTAATGGACATAAAAGACGAGCAATTAAGCGAACTGAAATGTGATTGGTGAAGCAGCATGGAATATCTGTGCACTGCACGGGATGGTGACTGATTTATCTCTCCACGAGAGGCTTGTAGAACGAGAGCATCTATTCATTTCTATCTCTAGGAATTTACTCCATCTATTTTGATACAAAACCAAGAAAACATGTGAAGCTTAAACTTGGTCACGGGTTAAATCTTGCACAATCTGCCCATTTTCAACACTCAAATGTAAATTATACAATCAATGGGATTCCATGTTTAGAGACCAAACAAAAATATTATGTTGTCTACTCAGTAGAAATGGATATGGCGAGCTAAAATGAATCACACTATGTAGAGTAATAGTCAGCCTCCAAGTCCGCATGTATGTGACCTGTAGAGAAAAGAAATGATCGAGAGAAATTAACAGTAAACATAACAACTTGGAGCCCTGCATCTTTGGAATGAAGTTTAGCACTAGGAAATGTTTAGGAAAGATTGATAATTGGCGAATAATAGAGTCATAGAGAGAGGGCCTAAAAGGGATAAGTATGCCAGTTACTAAATCTTAGTAGCTCTTTAGTAGAATGGTAGGATGCACTACCCAAGAAAAAAGGTTTCCTATACCTATGTATTATTTTAGTTGATTTAGGAGCACATTTTGTGCCTTCGTAACAAACACCAATGCAGGCACTCTTGAACTCGTCAAGAGAGAAAAAAAATTCTCTACCTATGTATTATTTTATTTGATTTAGGAGCACATTTCTGTACATTCATAACAAATTCCAATGCAGGCTACTCTTGAATTCTTCAAGAAGTTCAGTGAATCCATCAGCAAGAACCTTCAATTTGTTATTGATGACATATCCAGTGACGATTCATTGGCTGTGGGTGTTACCTGGCACTTAGGTATGCAAAACAATTGTCTTATTTCCCATTAACAAAGTAAGAAAGTCAAATTCCCATAGATTGTGAATATTGTACTAAAATAATATAACCTAACAGAGTGGAAGGGAAGGCCTTTTCCATTCAGCAAGGGATGTAGTTTCTACCGTTTGGAGATACTTGATGGAAGGAAGCAGATAATGTAAGCTTATCCGAGCCCTATTCTTCAGTAACTACAAATAAATTTTTATTGTTTGTGAACTTTGGAGTCATGAAAATATAAAACTGAGAAGTGAGGAAAGGCGTACAAGCTATTACCACCATGAGAACTGGAGCCCAAAAATAATTTTGTATGTTTCTGGATGCATTTATTTTTGTTCTCTTCCATCTGAAAGGTTGGGATTTTTCACCTCTATTTCAGCAAGTGACTTAATGAAACACAGACATTCTTTTCAAACAATAACAATATCTTGTGTTTTCTGGTAAATCTGCATGCAAAGTACATTCTTAACCAAGCTTTTACAAACTACCTCAGGTTTCCTGACTCTTCTAGCATACACATTGCCGTGAAAAACTCACGAAATATTTTGCAAAAGAGGATAGTGCAAAGTTTATCTTTTGTTCATGGCATCTATGCTTTTGGCTAGGGCCTGCATTATTGTATTTCTTTCACCAAAGTAATTTCCATACAAGTCTCTTAAATACTGGCAAACACCCTCCTTTATTTCATAACAAAGTTATGGCCCAATTCTCATTGTGTTAGTATTCATCTGTTACCATATGAGGGGCGCTCTTCATTGGAACAGAGGTACTTCCTACTTCATTTATTCGGCAGAAGTATTCATCTTAAGGCCTACGGTATTGGACTTACTGTAAAGCTGAAGAATATATCTGTTTGTGAGCTGAAAATTAACACAGATATCAAGTCAAATAATGTGATGGGTAAATAACTCCTATTAATATCGAAAGTATTTATGTCGGTATTGTTTTCGCTGAACCGGCAACCCTTTGTATGCGATCATTGACTTTCACTTCATGGTTTCCTTCGTGCAGTTAAAACTTTTTACCATTTTGTTGGTCACTTATAAAATTTTCTGAGTAACTTCCTTTTTCCCTTGCATAATGCTTTATTCTAAACAGTACTCATAATTTCACAATTCAGTTATGGAAGAGATTGCGTGGAACCTGCAACTAAACCTGGAGAAACGGCACTGGTATGCTCATTAATTATTGGATGAATAAAATAGCATTTAGAGATTTTATTTTATTATTTTATTATTTTATTATTTTTTTGTATCTTTTTACTAGCAAGTGGTGTTCACAAACATCATATATGCACATACAAGAGCAGATGATATGATTATGCCCGGTACCTAACCAAATTCAATACATTCTCTATTCTATAGCTTGTGTCAATACCCTTTCTTGATCTCAAACTGGGAAATTCCACAGTTATAATCGTCCAATTCCATTTTCAAGAAATATTTGAACAAATTAGGTTGTCTTAAATGGCGAATCTTGTATATGAATTACTTTTTTGAGCATATATCCATTTTTATAAAGATGATAAAACAATTGTCCGCTCTTCTGACTGAACTATGAGAAAAGTTGGCCACAGATCTATATGTATGCACTGGAGTCCTGCACTGATCAAACCTGTGCTCGTGTCGCATTTGAATTTCCACATGTTCTGAAATCTTATTTCCTGGATGAGCATGCAGGTCATAATTAGAGGAGTGACATGGATATTGGAAAATTTCCCACAGGTTGCTGATAGATTGTGATGGATGCTCCCGCCTCTAGACGGATGTATCTAATATTTTCATGCATGAGCAGAGAAAACCACAGAAATTATTGATAGCTTCATTAATGTAAAACTTTCTCATGCTCTGCACACCATGATCTTCGTTGACGCAATGGTAGTTCCCTGTACTAGCTCAATATTGCAATTCCAAAATGAGAAGGAATTGTACTACTATAACATTAGAAGACAATGCTTGCGAAAAATGGGAGCCTTGAGATAACTTCTGCAAGGCCATTCACAAGTTGGAGGTCGAAGAGGAAAGTTCTGTGGCTCAATCAGATCAAGAAAGCATCAAGGCCAACTTGTATAGAAAATGCGTTGCATCATGTTGTTCAGTTTCTGTCTCTTCCTGGTTCTCTAAATTATGTACTCATTATGTACTCACAGAATAATGTCACTGAAACAAAAAATAAGGAAATTGTTATATATGTGGTGTAAAATGTAAATAAATGTCCATATTATTTTAGCTCTCAAGTGTGCATCAGCGGGGATTTATAGGACCAGTGCTAAATTTGTGAAGCATTAATTATTTATTATTCTCAAGTCAGTGAAATGGATATGAAGCTGCTAAGGGGCCGTTTGTTTTGAGTTTTTGGGAGGGGAAACCCTGCCAGCTTTTAAGTCAAAACGCCTCAAATTGAGCTGCCACAATTCTGACAAAATTCAGAATTGTGACAGGGTTTCTCCTCCCAAAAGAAAGAAACAAACGCTCCCTAAGTAATCAGACTTTCTATTAAACCTAATATCTTTTTTTTCTAGCAAACCTCTAGAAGGGCTTGAGGATTCTAGCATCTTTTGTCAGTGCTTATATCAAGCGGACAAATTAAATGCCTAGATCATTGTTCAGTCATGCTCACATTTTGATTTCTTTACATAAGAGTTTGTGAGACGCATGTCAACAAGAAGAAGAAGAGAAGACCTGGTCATAAAAATGTGCAGCTGTTTCCCACACTTAGCATTTACTTAATTCTTCTCACATCTTGATTTTGATTGTGATGGCAAGTGATCCTCTCTCTCTCTCTCTCTCTCTCTCTCTCTCTCTGCAGGAGTCAGGAAGCTTCTTGCTTCCAGTGTGCAGCCCTACTACTAAGGTATCTTGTCTTGTTTACCCCACTTTGTTCTTCTTTGATTTTTTTAAATAAAATAAAATAATTAACAAAATTAACTCTTCTGAATTGGATTAGAGTGAAAAAGTTTGTCACTCAACATGTAATAATTTGGTGGCATATGTATGAGATATGTATTGTGGTCATAGAGATTAACACTAAACACTTTAGAATACTCTGTATTTTAATTCTCCCAGATTCATTGTCAATTTAGTAGAAAAGACTTACAAAATATAAACCACTTCAAGGATCCTGGACGGTATTAGATGACGAAATTAACCATATCAGCATGATGTAATTAATGTTGATGCAAGAGTTGTCTCTAGTTCTGCATACAATGAATACTAGTAGAAGAAATGTAATTGACTATGGTATTAATTGTTCCATATTTTTTGTCCCCGTAGCAGCACTCTTAGAAGTAGTTAATTGTACATTCATTTATATTCTTTAAAAAAAAAAATCTTAGCGCTTACGTTCTATTTAAGAGGACGGAAATTTCTGTGCATTTCAACCGAAAGTCGAGAAATAGTATAATCTGAAACGTGTAGGTGTTAATGAAATAATTTAGATAGTTTAAAAATTACTTATACATGTGTTCATAGTATAAGAAGGTGTATTTCTTATTAAATTATTATCTTTATATATATATAGAGAGAGAGAGAGAGAAATATGGAGAACCTTGGTACCAAGTTGCTTAAAGCAACTTGGTAGTGATGTGGCCTAATCTTGCCCCTACATCACACCTCGAAGATAGAGCCTCAACCACCCTTCACCAACTCCAATATAGATGTATGGACAAGATTAGGCCACATCACTACCAAGTTGTTTGGAGCAACTTGGTACCAAGTTTCTCCATTTTTCTCATATATATATATATATATGAGAAAAATGGAGAAACTTGGTACCAAGTTGCTCCAAACAACTTGGTAGTGATGTGGCCTAATCTTG